CAGCAGCAGCAGCAGCAGCAGCAGCAGCAGCAGCAACCCGCCGCGCACAACAACAACATGCCGTTCATGATCCACTGCCAGATCGGCAAAGAGATCAAACACATCTGCAGCAACTGCCGCGGAGCCGAGCCGCTGGACGGTGAGAGCACACGGTTCAGTTCAGGAGGAGGTGGAGGTTCTTCTCCTCTGTTTGCATTAGATGATTAGTGTCAGCTGTCGGTGGCCGCTCCCTGCCTGCCGGGGGGAATCTGTGCTTCTCTCATGAGCCCTTAATGCTCAATAACATTAACATAAATCACAGTGTCTTTTAAAGAAGCTGCTGGTGGCTTCATGTCTTCATCGTCTCTTTGTGATGTAGCCTAGATAAAGTGGAATTGCGTGATTTCACATCCAGTTTTTATGTGGGTCACTTTAGCTTCCCTGTTTGCGTTTTGGTTCCTTCTTCACTTTGTAGAAATACTGTCGTTATCCTCCGCCAGTCTGAGCTGCTTCTCTTCATATGAAAAATCTGGCTGAAATGCAGGTCATACTTTCTTTATTAATTAACTGGTTTAAAAACCTGTTCTCTTAGATCATTTAAACTGCAGTGTGTGGAAAGTCACTTGTATTGTGCTTGAATTATTTCCATTTCATGCTGCATGCATCCATTTCTGACAGCTTTAATAATATTAGTAATAATAATAATAATAATTGTTATTATATTATAAACTTAATTTATATAGCACTTTTCATACACAGGATGCAGCTCAAAGTACTTTGACAAATGTAAAAGAGAAAGGGAGTTAAAACAGGGAAATCCTAAAAACAAAAAAACAAACAAGGAAAACATTTAAGGAAAGGAGGAAGGAAAACATTTATATATATATATATATATATATATATATATATATGTGTGTGTAAATGTTTGAGTGCAGGACTTTTACCTGAAGAGTATTTAATAACCTGTCGCTTTAAATGACTTTATCGACCAAGACCTTAATCAGAGCTGCAGCTAATGATCATGTTCACCGTTCATTCATCTCTTGTCTTTTTAAAATCAATTATTATCCGTTCAGTTTAAAAGATGTCCTGAGGTTCAGGTGAGCTCGAGGTGTCTTCAGTCCAAACCTCGAAGATACGAAACAAACAAAATCAGTAAATCTCACAGTAGAGATGCTGGAACAGAGCATGTGCCACATTAGTGCTTGAAAAATGACTCAAACTATCAATCAATTACTAACATCTCTACTGATTAATTTTCTGTCAACTGACTAATCATTGTATTGACTCTCTGTTAAAGCACTTACAACAGAGTCATCACACTCTCAGCATCTTTGGCTTATCTTTGGCTTATCTTTGCCTTGACTTAAATAACACAGTTAGACTGAGAGCTTGTCATACATTTTGTACAGTTCATCAACCAGCTGATTTTAATTTGAAAATCTCTCTCCAGCATTCCTTCCTGTCCACAGATCAATACAATCATGCAAAAGATTGATTATAGTAATACACTGTTTCAATAAGACCCAAGTATCTTTCTGAGTGTCAGATGTGACTGTTATTTTACTAAAGCTGATTTTTGAATTAAGAAAAAGTACAATAAATTGATTTAAATGTCTTCCAAGATCTTAATGCTTAAGTTTAGATCTGCATTGATCAGTCAATTAATCCATTAGGGATAATTTTAGTCATTTTTTAAGAGAAAATGTAGTTAGTTGCAGCCCTATTTAGTTTTATTGTTGATTTTTTTTTAATTTGATTAATTATTTATTCAATGAAAGAAATTCAAATATGCAGCTTGTTTTTTCCGGCCAAAGAGAATCAGTTTACGGCGATGCAGAGAAAAGTAATAGATGTTCACATTTAAGAAGCTGGAACCAGATGATGTTTGGAGTTTGAACTCGATAAACAACTTAAACGAATCAATCATCAAAATTGTTTTCCATTAATTTTCAGTCAATCATTCTGAGTAAACCCAAGACATATTTCTGAACCAGACTCCATGAATGGACCAAGAACCTGGATCAAGTCGACTGTTGAGAAGCTTGAGAACCTCTCACAGTTGTTTGGCTGCTGTTGTTGAGTGAGTCAGTGTTTTGAGGCTGTAGTCAGATAACAGACCCGGGGTCAGGCTGAAAGAATGTGGCCCTACAGTGTGAGTGAGCCTGAGCCCTCTGACTCACACGGCACTGCTGGGGGGTGGGGGTGTTTTTATTTTGACAGGGACAAAGATGAGCCGAGAGGGAAGATTACTCTTCACCTCCCTGAATCCAAATCCACTAATGCTGCATAATGATACTCAAGTAAAAGTATACAAGTATAATCAGGAACTTGTACAGTAAAATGACCTTATATGAGTCTGTCATTAGATTTTTAACACTCATGCATTAATATGTCAGCAGCAGCTTGCACCTTTGTAGTTGGTTGAGGTGGATCTAATGCTGATTATTTGCCTAATTGATGGAATAAATTGATTGGTTGTCCAAACCTGAAAATTACTTGAAATAAATGAATTTGATTAGATTTAAATGACTGGAAGGAAAAGCAGCTGGATCAATTAAAAGTTTTTGCATTTTTACATGAAAAATTATTCAAAACCTGAAAAATAGTAGCCAGTTAATTCTGAAATAATTGTTGTTAATGGACTAATTCTTTGAGGTCTACTTGTTTATGCAGTTAAGTTGTTTAGTTTATAGTAAAGCAACATATTTTATAAATCCATCATATGTTTTATAAGTAAAATTGTAACCAGTAAAGTAAAGTGAGTAAAAGTATTAAGGAGGCATGAGGAGAGCAGTAAAGTAGCAGTGCTTCAGATTTGTATAAATGTTGTGCAGCTGCTGAAAAGACATGGAGAGAAACTCTTCTGTTACTGGTGCAGAGACGTTTTCTGTGTAGCTGTGACTTTCACACCTGAGTGTTACACCCAACAACGTCAGTCAGACTCTTGCCCACTGCAGCAGCTGTGAGGGGAGGTGGAGGTTTTGGCGAGGGGAGGTGGTGGGGTTTAGGGGTGAGGATAGCGTGGTTGAGGGGCCGTTGTTGAAAAGGTTTCTCAGTTGTGGCTGCTGAGCTGTAACAGATTTAAACTGATAACCCCCCTGTAACAAGGTCTCCTCCTGGCTGCAGCTGCTCGCTGGTTTCCAGTCTCACCGTTTGTTTTTTTTCTCTGACGTTGTTTTCAGGTTTTATTTTCAGCTGTCGGTTCTGGTCCAAACAAAAGAGTCTAAAACTATCAAAAATTTTAATGTGAGTCAGGAGCTGTTTGATCAAAGAATCAAGGATCATAAATCTGACAGACGGAGCTACGGTTGTGTTGAGAGTCAGTCTGCGGTCATGCTTTGGTCCTGGTTGTTGCTGTTCGTTTATTGGCCTGTTAGTTTGCCGGACGCCTCACAAACGCCTTTCCAGATTTCACTTTAGACCAACTTTGACAATGTATGAACGTGTTATGATCCATGTCAGTCATCTGAACACACACCGCTGTATTTTGTCTGTTAAATATTCTGCCTGCAGTATCATTGAGGCAGGGTGCAGGTCACTGTTGGTTAGGGTAGTCGCTGTTAACTGAGGTGATTGAACCTGCAACTTCTCTGTTACATGAGTTCAAGTTTAACTTTATTTGTCTTATTTAGGTTTACACAAGGTTAACAGTATAATGAAATGTGTGACAAGAATCCGGTCAACTCGGCAATAAAAACTAGCATACTATAAATGAAAAATAATAGAATAAAAAAATAAAAAAAACGTGTGTATGATACACATAAGTATAAGTCATTGCCCCTGGCTCTGGTGGTGCGTGCAGCCAATGTTCCTGTATCATCTGCCAGACAGACGCCAACTCTGATCCGTCCACTTGTATTTTTCCTCTGTTTGTAAACGTGTGTGTGTGTGCGTGTGTGTCTGCGTGTGTGTGTTTACATCCACTGCTGTCTGCTGGCTTCCTGTGTTTCTCCCTCATCCATCGCCGCTGGCATTAGAGTCTGCTTCATAGAGCAGGATGGTGTGTGTAATGGGAAAAGTGTCAATTTAAATGCACGCTGTACCGAACGGCCTCCGGCTTCAAACCCCTCCCTGCGGGAGCAGCTCAGGGTCACTGAATGGAAAAGGTGGAGGAGGAGTAGAAGTGTGTCATGGATGTTTACGGTCAGTTTTGTTTTGTTTTCTTGCACATATTCACTTCCTCCTGAGCTTCTTCTTCTCTGTGGGAGGTTTTGTTGCAGCCACCTGACACACTCTCTCTCTCTCTCTCTCACCATGTTGAAGAGCGATCCAAATGAGCTTTACCTGACTTGATAATGCAAAGCCCCCTAGGAGACATTTGAATCAGAGACAAACAATCATCTATTTGCCTCTATGTGGATTTCAGAAACCTGTTATTGAAGGAAATATGCAGCATGATAATGGAATCATTTGTTGAAATCACCAGACAAAGCAACGACAAATAACATATTAATAAATGCAAAAAAGCTTTTCTCCCTCACGTTTATGTCAACACTGGTGTTATTTTATTTTCATATAACCTCTAAATATAGAAATGAATAATATCAAAAAATTAAATCAGTTTAAATCAGAATTGATTTTCGGGTGATGGATTGATTTCATGTGACAAACGAGGGGTCACTGGGCGGGGGTGGTGGGTGGTGGGTGGGGGGGGGGGGGGCACTGACTTTAACTGCTGGTTATTTTCAATATTGATGAATCTGCAGAATATTTTTCCATTAAAGGTTTGGTTTGTAAAAACAGTGAATCGTGTCCCTCCCAGCATCAAACCTCAAGTCAAGTCTTAGGAGCCGCAACCAGACAGTGTTTGGTATTTTTCCTTAAAAAAAACGATTGATTAAGTTAATGAAGTTTCTGCTGCTCATTGGTTAATTGCCCAATCATATATAAATATATCTACTGATCAGATATTTAAATTGCACTGTTACTGTGCACCAGGTAAAAGGAGAGAAACGTATTAGTGACAGTGCTTTTCACCTTCTCGTTAACGACCCTGCTGTCCTCACTCTGTTCTCCAGCTGAGGAGGTGGAGAGGTTGGCAGCGATGCGCTCTGATTCGCTGGTCCCCGGCACACACACGCCTCCTATCCGCCGCCGCAGCAAATTCGCCACCTTGGGACGTCTGTTCAAACCCTGGAAGTGGAGGAAGAAGAAGAGTGAGAAGTTCAAGCAGACGTCTGCAGGTGAGAACCAACCCCACCCCCGCACCCCGGCTCCCACCCCCCCCCCTGTAGTAATTTGCTGCACCCACAGCAGATAAACGTCTCCCTGCTACACCCAGCAACAGTGGCAATGATGAATGTGAGCACAGAGGTGCCGTGCTGCGAGGGGGGGGGTGATGTATGGTGATATAGTAGCAGCAGCGAAGATCTACTGTGTATAATTATGGTTATGTAAGGCTGGTAAAGCAGTGGCAGACCTCAGGTCAGCTCCTGCTGCTGCTCTGTCAACCACAACGTCAGCCTTGCTGAGCCTGGGTGCCACTCAACGGTCTGGAGGATTAACTTTTCAACAGCTGACGTAATTGGAGTTGGTAGGGTATGGTGTGGGTAGTGTGTTTGGAAGGTGAGATGTTTTAATAAAGGTCTGTGGATTATAATAATAATGATAATAAAGACACTAAAATCATTTCAAAAAAGAAGAAAGGAAAATAAACAATTACAGATAAACGTACAAAAACAAGAACATATTCACAGATCGCTGGAAAACAAAAATGTGAACATTCATGTCGTCACAGAGAAAAAGATCCTGTGTGAAAATAAAGCAGATTTATTTAACTTAGTTCAAGCATAGAGGCGAAAAGCTGTTAATTACCGTCTTCATCAGAGATGTAAACACGCCAGAAGAGGAGGAGTCGATAATTAATGTTCACTGCAGCAACAAATTAGCTTTAAGTGGTGATTGTCAGCGCTCCACTGCGCTGCCTCTGTAACAGTGAATCAACTCGGTATCTGAGGGAACGTGGACGTGTCTGGTTCAGAGTGACAATATGCACCGAGCAGTAAACTGTGAAACAGAAGAGAGAGTTTGACACGGATGGAGAAATGGAAGCTGTTGTTGTTGTTGTTGTTGTTGTTGTTTCTCCGCTGGCTCAGTCGTTCCACTTCCTGTTCTCAGTGAGAGACACGGACGCAGAGCCGAAGGTGACGAGAGGCTTCCTACAGCCAAGCTGTTCTCCCAGCTGTCACGGCACGACCGGCGTTTTCTGCTCAGACCTCCCTCCAAACAAAACACACTGTACATCTTACTGTACACTGTTGACCGCACAGGGCGCACATGTTGTGTTCACCATGTGTTATTACTGGACTCTTGCCATCATTCAGCCATGGTGCATTCAATTATGTGGGCGTCCAGGCTCGTTTTGTTTGGACACCAAGAAAGCAACCAGGCTTTTCCTGAAGAATAATTCTTTTTTTTTTTTTATCAGGACAGGGGTGTGTACAGGGTTCCCACAAAACATATGACTGAATAGATGAAACTCACAAACCTTTTGTTGGATAAAAACAGAAATTCTCCATTTTGTTTTTATGCATTCTGGAAAAAAAGAGTAAAAACACATTTCCTTTTAATTAGTTTCCTTGATTGTTTATCTGATCAGGCATTTTGGTTGATTACTAAACAGGGATTAAAAATAGATAGATGGATAGATAGATAGAAGAAGAAGTGGGAAGTAATGTAAAAATCTTTGGCCAAAAATATCTTAATCTCAGTGAGATCACCTGATTAAATAAAGGTTATTAATGCAAGATGTTCAAGAATATGTGTGTCAAAAATGCAGCACTCATATTTACCAGGATTAGATACAGATATGAATTGAACGCAGCTACTGAATGTGCAGATTGTACAGAATATTCAAACAGCAGATGAAGTGAAAAGTCAGTTTGATCATTTAGCAAAACAGATTTTAGAACAGACTGAAATGTGGCTTTAGTCTTTTAATATAGTAGTCGAGCTTTAATTTTGAAAGGACGGCCATGTTCCAACATCAACAGCATGAGTTCAGCACCAAAGCACTGCTGCTCTCTCCATCAGAGAAACATCCAGCTGGAGGTGAAGTGTGTGTGTGTGTGTGTGTGTGTGTGTGTGTGTGTGTGTGCGCGCGCGCGCAGCTCAGATGTTCAGTCACAAGATCGTTACTGAGCAGCAGCAGCAGCAGCGATGGAGGCACAGGTCCTAACAAACGTCTGCTTCAGCTCATACATTCCTCTGCACTGATCACATCCTCAGTGTCTGCGGCACAATCAGTCTCACAGCCTCACAGTCTCATGTCCTCTGTGATCCTCAGTGCTGGAGAGGAAGATGTCCACGCGTCAGAGCCGAGAGGAGCTCATCAAGAAAGGAGTGCTGAAGGAGGTGTATGAGAAAGGTAACAGGAAACAGCTGATCAATCAAATCTGAAATAAAGTGCTGAAATGACCACTTGATTAATTAATTAACTGATTAGACAGGATTTAAATTAAATTATTCATCTTTTTTGGGTCGTTTTTGAAAGTGTTTTTTTTTTTTTTTTTGGATCTGCAATGATTAGTCAATGAATTCATTAGAGGATCGACAGAAAACTAATTGGCAGCTATTTTGATAGTTGATTAATAACTTTTTTTTGCCGGTTCCAGCTTCTCAAATGTGAAGATTTGATCCTTTTCTAAGTTGAATAGCATCAGCTTTCATCGTTGGAACATCTTGTGGTTTTCAGACTTGGTCGTTGGGAAGTAATCCAATATTTATTTAGTTTTCAGTGGGATCATGATGATGTTATAGTGTGTTACTTGACTGACAAAATTGTGGTGTTGAATTATTCCAATTATTATTTCAAGGTGACAGAGGTTGTTGCTTTTCACATGTGCAGCTTGTGATAGGCATTTATCATTATTTTTGACATTTTATGAACAAAATCAGTCATTGATTAGGTGAGAGATTTTTTTATTAATCATTTAAGTTTTTAATGTCAGAAAATGGAAGGAAGTGATCATCCTGAGTTCTCACAATCTGTTTGTCCAACTGAAGCCAAATAATTTCAGTTACAATGAAAAAAACTAGAGAAAAGAAACAAAAAGTCACATTTGAGAAGATGGAGTCAGTGAGTGTTTGGTATGTTTGCTTGATAATTGACCTAAGCGATTAATTGATTAGCAAACCTGGTTAATTGAGTAATTGCTTTAGCACTAGTAGCTCTAAACTGTAGTAACTTGTTGCCAGATCCACAGTTTTCCCCTTCTCTCTCTCTCTCTCTCCCCCCCCCCCCCCCCCCCCCCTCTTCTGCTCTGTCTTCCTCTGCAGACGGATCGTCTCCATCTCTACGGGAGGAGGTGAAGATGGAGAACGGACGCTCCCCAGTGCTCGGCTCCGGCCTGTCAGAGTCTGATGGTGCTGAAATGATGGAGGGAGCAGCTGCAGGTGTAGGTAGGCAGCAGAGCCGCAGCACCGTCGTCGTCTCTCGCCTCTCATCTCGCATTGTTGCGTTCGACTGTTTTATTTCTTTGACTTGTTTTTCTTTTCAGGTTCCCTGGAGTTTCAGATGGCCAGTGATGGTGCATGCCAACAGGACCACGCCCAGAAATCCAGCCAGGCTCCGCCCACGAAGAAGTCCACTGTGTATCTGGCTGACGGCGCTGAATCAACACTGTCCAGACCTCCAACGCTACACAAACAACCTCCTGCGCTGCCGCCCAAACCCTTCACCAGGCTACCCAACCACATTACAGGTGCGTTCAGCTTCATTCACGCAAGTGTGTTTCTGACTCTCTGCACACACACACACACACACACACACGTCTAACCTTTCACCTCCTCGGTGCAGACGGAGCCCCGGTGAAGCTGCCGTGCATGTCGGTGAAGTTATCTCCTCCTCTACCTCCAAAGAAGCTCATGATCTCCGTGCCTGCAGGGAGCATGGAGCCCTCTCCGCTCGCCTTCCAGAAGTGCCCCGCCCCTCCCGGCCATGCTCCAATGGGCGGGCACTCGTTGCAGTACGGGACGATGCCCCTCCACCCGCCCAGCAGGATCATCGAGGAGCTCAACAAGACCCTGGCCCTCACCATGCAGAGGTTTGAGAGGTGAGGGTCACAGCGGCTGAACGTCAGCTTCTCACGAGCTGAGAAAAAAGCTCACGATTCGTTTTTCTGCCTGGGTTTTCAACATGTAAAGGAAAATCTGATCCTTCAGTTCAGCTGAAAAATTCAAAATTGACATTGACAGATCTTATTTGATAAATTCATCCAGATTGGCAGAACCAGACTACACTCTGTTAGCCGGTAATGGTCTGATCTGACATGTGTTGTTCAGAATGAAAATAAGCATTCAGAATTTATCCTGTGTGATGTGTCATAGAGGAAGACAACCAGTTTTTCACCTTTTCTCATCTAGTTTTACAACATCTGTAATGTTCAGTGGCACTTCAGGTTTTATTCCCAAATGACTCTTTGTGTTTGTTTCTGCTGATTCAGCTCTGCACGTCCAGCAGGTCGTCAAAGGCTGGCAGCTGTGACTGATCTGAAACATCTTAAAACGACCTGAAATCTGAGCCTGGCCTAAAATGTTCTGCACAGACCTCATCTTAAACACTTAGCATTCCTGTAGAATTCAAAAGGCTTCATCTAACTGTTATTTTATATCTAATAATGAATTATTTTTGCAGTTAATCTTTTAATCCAGTGCTCTGAAACTCCACAAGGCGTCACAAGACAAATCTGGAGAGTCGCCGTGAGCTAAATAAGACAGGAATGAAGAAAAAAAATATATTTCTGCCTCTAAAAATGACTCAAACGAGGAGAAGAAAGTCACTCTGGTTGAACTGGTCATAACTTTGTTTTGAGTGGTCACATGTTGAAAAGGTTGGAAACCACAGATTCAGTCAAAAGAGCGACCACGAGTTCTCATGGGCCCAAGGTGTCGTCTTTGTTTTGTCCAACCCACATAATCAAAACTTGTGATATACTAATATAAAACAGAAAAGCAGCAAATCCTCACATTTGTTTGGTATTTTAAACGATCAATCAAATACATAAACTGTTGCAGAATTAATTTCCCAATGCAACCAATTAACATTCAGCCCATCACATGTCCTTATAAGTAACTTCTCTTGGTTCCCATCACTGGACTCGTCCCAAACACAGAGCTGTGAAGTTTAGACACTTCAGTTTCTAATGTTAGATCTTGTAAAACGCCTCTGACCTCTTACACTTTCCCACCAACCTGCAGCTCCATGATGCACGGCGTTCCCACGGTGATGATCGAGTGCGACGATGACAAAGAGAACCTCCCCAGCGAGGCGGACTACGAGGACCTGCCGGGGATGTACAAGGACGAGGAGGAAGAGGAGGAGGAGGACGACGAGGATGAGGAAGAAGACGACGAGGAGGAGGAAGATGAAGACGAGGAGGAAGATGAAGATGACACACTGTTTACAAGTAGGTGTCTTTTCCATCAATCAGTCACCTGTTGCTGTAAATCATAATACATATTCATGAAGTGTATATATATATATATATATATATATATATATATGCACATGCCGTTTTTTTATGTGCGTGAACATATGTGTGTCTCCATATGGTTGCACAAGTGCAGGCATCACGTGGTGTGCAGCACTCAGGGCTGCAGGTTGTAATCAGAGATGTGAATTATTCATCTCAGCATTATGTATACAGTGTATTTATTTACTATATTTTTGCACCAGCAATATACATATAATAAATAATGCATAAGAAAAGAGGGAAAATGGATTGTAACAGCTGATGTGGTTATATTCACATTTTACCAGAAAAAAACAGAAGAAGAAAAAAGGTGGAACAATAAGCAAAAGAAAAATTAAAGCTGCAGTAATTAATTTTATTTGGGAGCAATGAGCTTAGAAAGGCTGAAGATGGAGATAATTCTCTGTGGTTTGTGACTCCCTTCACTTTCCAGTCATTTCATTAATTCTTCCTAAAAAATACATATTGATTGGTGAAGATGACGGCTCGATAAAGGCACAAAAAACTATTCAAAAAACACAAGAGTGAGACAACAGTTTAGACCAGAAGTGTGAGGGAAAGCAGCGAGGTGGGGGTGTGGAGGGAGATACCGTACATGAGGCAAAGTTCCTGTGTGAGGTCAAAGAGACAGATGCATACCCATGTTAGTTACTGTATTTCGCCCTGTTACCAACACAGTCAGTGGTTGGAGCTCATGGAGACAATTAAGATACTGAAGATAAGTTACTTAAGACAAGATGGATCTGGATCTGATTCTGCCTGTTTAGCTTCTGAAACCCTGAAATAAAACCAATGAAATGCAACAAAATTAGGACAACAGTCATAAATAACCCAAGCAAAACTATGCTCTTTTTATGAAGTGAGAGTTCACTAGTCTGGATCTGCATAGCTAAGATGACACTTTATATCAACACAACACATGTCTTCCCCTCTTTGTGTGATGACTGCAGGCACACTGGCCATGAAGGTCTTACGGAAGGACTCTCTGGCCATCAAGCTGAGTAACCGTCCATCGAAGAGGGAGCTGGAGGAGAAGAACATCCTGCCGCTGCAGTCGGACCAGGAGAGACTCGAGTCCCGGCAACAGACGGCCACCAAACTGACCAGGTGAGCCGCCTGAAACACACACATGGACACACACACACCTCCACACACACACACACATGCACACACACACACACACCTCCACACACAGGCCCACCCAGTCACCTGCAAAGAGCTTTAACCCACGTGAGCTATGGTAGATGTGACCTGGCTGCTGAAGGGAGCAGATGATGGATGATGAGTCTTAATGGAGGGAGGAGGAAGAGCTGAGAGGAGGGGAGGGATTAAAGATGTAGGATCAAGACAGTGGATGTACAGTTAACGTGCGGTCATATAACATCTCAATCATAAATCATCCCCAATGTAGAACCATTAAAAGTGATAGTTCATGGTTATTAGACGTGGGGTTGTGTGCGGTACTTATCTATGCTCAGTGTATTATCTACAGCAGGTTCAGATCAGCACGCTGCCAGTTTAGAGAAGCAGCAGGAGCACTGGTACAGAAGCTGAGTGCAAAAATGTGTTTTAGCCTCAAAATAAAGCATACACTTCAACTGATGTTGGCTTTTTTTCTGTGGGGATTTTTTTTAAAGTGTCTAAAACATGTTTTTGCAGTCCGCTTCTGTACCAGTGCTCCTGCTGCCTCTCAAAGCTGGGAAAACACTGATCTGAATCTATACTGACAATAGATAAATACCTCACACGACCCCACATAAAATAACTCCAACTATCAGTTGAAACTACTTCAAAAAATGAATTTATGTAACAAAATATATTGTTTTGGGATGAATTGAGCTTTTTGAGACTGAGCTACTTGAATATATCGTTTGATTATTAGGCACATTTATTTTCAATCTGAATTTGAGAACTCAAAAAAATATATATATTGGAAGTAAACTGAAAATGAAGACCACATTCATTCAGAAAGACGGTTTTCAAAGTCATATATGTTCGTCCAATAGAATAAATTCAGTTGTAATTCATTTTCAACACTAAATACACAGTGTTGAGGTTGTCAGTTGCAAGATTCGTTTCCTGGTCAGATGCCTGATGGACGTGCTCAGATTCTTTTTGTTTTGCCAACAGTCACACACAAAAAGATATTTAAGATTCAATGATACAAAACAGAAAAAAAACAACAAATCCTCACAGTTAAGAAGGTGGAACCAGAGGACGTTTAACAAGCCACTAAACTGTTTCAGCACCAACTGAATTTTACGTGTAGAACATGATTTAATTGAGATATTTTCTGGAGACATTAAGTTCATCTTTGACCTTATGTCACCACTTGATGTCACATACTGTATACAAGTTTTACATAAAGTGGTTAAACCGACACCTCGGTTGAATTTATGATGTTCCCTTTATCCATTCCATCCATTATTTCAATACATCACATCACGTTTTATCACTTGGAAATGATTTGATTTTGATTTGAACTCTTCCAATGGAATGTAAATCCTGATCACATCGGTGCCATTTACTCTGAAAAACAAAATACACTGCGAGTTTGTTGTCAGCCATCTTTGAAGAGCTCTGTCCTTTAGCTCCTTCTGTCCTCACTCACCATCAATCTCTGCTCAGCTGTCTGAATCACTTCAACCCCCGCCCCCACCCCACTGTTGTAAATTCACAACATCACAGCCTCATAAAAAATGATATTACATGCACAGTCAGCTCTGTCTGCAAGAGTAAAATCTCCGCCTCGTATAAGATTTTGTTTGAGCACGGTGAACATCTGAAAGCACACGAACATTAAAATCATATAAAAATAGGTTTCCTGAAATAGATATGTTTTATTTTCCAGGCGGTTGAGTCAAAGGCCGACAGCAGAGGAGCTGGAGCAGAGGAACATTCTCAAACGTAAGTCACTTTGCATAGCATGAGAGAGAGAGAGAGAGAGAGAGAGACAGAGAGAGAAAACGACCAACATCAATCATCAGTGTGTGAGATCATGGTTTTTTTTTTCCCCTGCAGCTCGAAATGATCTGGAGGAGCAGGAGGAAAAAAGGGAGATCAAGAGACATTTGTCCAGAAAGGTAAGATGGAGGAGAGACGGTCTGAGAGTCTTTGATCAGAGGAGAGATGGAGATATGAGCATGGTTGCCGTGGTGACCGAACTGCCATCCTTCATATTGCAGCCCCCCTTTTGAAAAAATGATAGAATTATCTGTTACATCATCCTCTTACTCTCTATGTGTGTGCATAGGCTTGTTTTAATACACTGGTGGACCCGACCAGTTTAAAGGGCTGTTTGAGGGCTAAGACTTGGTTTTAGGGTTAGAGTTTAGGTTTAGGTTAGGATTGGGGATTCAGTTGTGATGGTTAAGGTAAGGGTGTGGTTTCAAGACATTTCCTCATGCACGTGGCATCATAAAAAAATCATGTTTAACCTCAAAAGAAAGCCACATCTCTATGATCAATGCTGAGCTGATTTCAGGGCACCACTTTACAATAAGACGAGCCTTATACAGGATTTATAAATGGTCTATAATTGGGTTGTTAACACTTTATAAATCATAAATAAACAATGAAAAACAAGTTATAACACAGTTTTCATACATTGATGCAGACTGTCTATTTGGCAAGATCAAGTTCATGCTTCATACTCATTACTCTTACTAATGAGTGACTATTATTTATAACTGTGTTAACAAGCTAATTAATGAAGTAATTATAAACCATTCATAAATCCTTAATAAGGGTCATCTTATTGTAAAGTGGTACCGATTTTAGTAGCTATATGGGTAATATTTCACAGTCTGCTGTGGGCTAACAATGAGATATACTTGACACACACACAGGCATCAGTGGATGTATGTATAGTTGAAACTTGGTGTATGGAATTGGTATTAACTTCACTAAACGTTCCCCCTTTTTTTTCAGTCCTCTGGTACTTATGTTTTTGTACCTTTTGTATGGGTTGGGGTGAATGGACTTAAGGGATCACATTAATTTTTAATTTTTTTTTATATATTTTTTTTTCTCTTTTTCCTTATCTTTGATGCTTTACCACTGTGTTTTCTCTTGTAGGCTGCTCTGTATTTAGGGAAATTCAATAAGTAAATTGTTAATTAAAGAAAAAAGGTTAGGATAAGGGGTTCACAACAGCTGCCACAGCAATAATGAATGATATGTGATTATCTGAATTTATATAGAGTAAAACCCAAGTAAAGCTAAAACCATTGTTCCACTGCCGATCAATATCTGGATTTCTTTCATTTTTATTGTTTTAGAAATTGTGTAATATGTAAATGTAATGTAATTTGAAAATAATTTGCTTTTCTAGTTTTGTCTCTGAGTCAATTTCTCAAAAAGGGATCAATTAGGTAAAATGGAAAGACTGTGAAAAGTATTTTTGGACATTTTCACTCTTCTGTTTGTATTAAAAACAAATCGTGGGGTGAATGTGCTAAATTTCAGATAATAACAGACAATCATAATATATAGCCCAGTAAATATATGTTCTTCAAAGTTGATCCATCTCCAGAGGCAGATTTTCAACATTAAAGTTTCTATCATTAAAATGTTTTTAAAATATACATTTTTTGATTTTAAAACCATATTTTTAACCAGACAAGAGAATTATCATTTTGTTTTCCAAAAAAATAATGTACCCAAAATTCTTCTGTTCTTTCAGTCATAACTCTGACCTCCATTGAAAGATAACTCAGAATAAGTAGAAGAGATACTTAACCAAAGTTACAGGCACAAACGGGGTGGATAAAAGGGAATATTCATTCATGAATGAATGAATGAATGAAGGAACATAAGACCTAAGTAGGAAAAAACACTTGAACCCGTTTTGTGTCAGCAGCTGTGGGAGTGATATGAGGATCCTAAGCCGCTGTGCAGATTGAATCAGAGCCTTCAAGCAAAGAATAATTTGTCACAGTCGTAATGTTTGTAGTTTTATCCTTTCCTTTTCTGCACAGACTCATCTTCCCTAGTATCCATTTTAATAATGGCTGGATGTAACACTCTTCTCTTCCTCCACCTCCTGCAGCTCAGCCAGAGGCCGACAGTGGAGGAGCTAAGGGAAGCGAAGATCCTGATCCGCTTCAGCGACTACGTGGAGGTGGCCGAGGCTCAGGACTACGACAGGAGAGCGGACAAGCCGTGGACTCGGCTAACAGCTGCTGATAAGGTTAGCTTAAAGACGTGGTTCACTCTGGATTCAAGTTGTTTGAACACACAGCATGGACTCTATGTAAATATGTGTGTGTTTTTGTGTGTCGCTCAGGCCGCCATAAGAAAGGAGTTAAACGAGTTCAAAAGCACAGAGATGGAAGTGCATGAGTCGAGTCGCCATCTGACCAGGTGAGAAGACTCGAGGACTACAACCACACCACCAACACATTCAGAGAGCTAACTGTGTGATACACGTTATAGAGTTAGCATGTCTTGGGCTACATTCACACTGATAGTTTTAGTTTTAAAACACATCTCTTTAGCTACTTTTATGTCTGTCATCCAAGCAACTCTGGAGTTTTCAAGCCGTTAAAACGGAGAGTTGTGGAAACCCTGCTGAACCCGATTTAGTTTGAAAGCTCCGGGGTGGCATTTTAGTCTGGACAGAGACTTTTGGAAACGATGACAGAAACCCCCGTGCGTGCTCCCTGATTGGCTCAAGACTACCAGTGAATGCAACATGGCTATTACAAGCGTTACTGAACTTGTTGTCATTGATGGCAGCTGTTGTTCACTTAATTTTAGTATTTTAACGCTACAGCTGTCTTTGCTGTTCCTTGTTCAGAGTATTTTGTGCAACTTATCAACTGCAGAGTCGACAATCTGCTTCCCTTTTACACCGGCTCGCACATGCCCAGTGCACGTGACTGCTCATGTATGTATGCGAATTCAGCTTGTCTGGACGGAGATAGTTTTCATTTATAAAACACTGATTTAAAATGGAAACACATTAGTGTGGACATAGCCTTAGGTCATTATCACAAGTGGGGCAAAATTGTAAAGTTTGTCCTGGGGGTGGCGCTAGAGGAAAGGTCATGTAATTAAATTCAAAGGGTTTACGAATCTCAGATTACATTGTAACTGGTTTAACCTGTATCAGTCAAAGCTGCAGTTTGTCTGTGTGAAACTGCTGAAATCAGCCACATGGTTTAGTCTGAGAAGTTGGAGAATTTCTGTCAGCTACAGTATCTCCCACTTGGCAAAAACAGCAGAGCCACCAATGCTGACTTTTGCACTAGTATAGCACACTAGCATCAACCCCAAAAGCAGCAGAGACTGATTGGAATTTGGTCATTAGTTTTAGGCATATTTAATATTTTCACCTGTGCTCTTCATGAAAAGGCAGGAGATTCGTGTAGATTTGAAAGACGATTCATCTGGTTTCCAAACCTACCTGCTTCTCAAATGTTGCTCACGTTCTCTTTGTCGTTGTTTTCTCCTCGCAGGTTCCATCGGCCATAAAGTGGCTCAGTCAGACCTCAGCCATGGTTTTGTACTCCTCCCACTGAAGCCTCAAGCGTTCAGACTGCTACTAGCCCCCCCCACCCCCAAGCGTCGACTTCAGTCTGACAGACCGGACTCGACACAACGAGAGTTTGAACCATTACAGGAACTTTCGGGTGGATTGAACCCTCTCGGCTGGCGTCTCCGCTCAGTGGAGATTTTAGAGGCTTCTTGATATTCAAAAGCTTTTAATTGTCGTTTTTTTTATGATGAGGAGGCGGCGACACGTTTCCTTTGCAGCACTTTTGTTTTTGAATAAAGATTCTGGACGTCAAACACAGAATCTGCCAATTACAAGGACAGGAACGGTAGAAGGTGAAGATGGGACTTTTCTTTTTCTTACACAGGGATTGTTTTCTTGCCTTTCACCATGTTCTCACTCTCCTCTCTCAACCGGACTCTATCTTTCCTTGGGGGCGTGCTTGTATTGGCACAGTTTTATTCTACAGATGACATCTCAATGACCGTTTATCTCATTTAGCCACAGGAATGAAAATATTTACCACAGCTTATGCTGTTGTAGGCAGCTGAACCTGAAGCCAAAATCTCCTAAAATCCTAATCAACATCCCATAATGCTTCTTAAAAGCCAGTAACAATAAAGAAAATGATGAGCTCCTAATGCATTCACATCAGTCAACTGAGCAATAATTTCAGATTTTCTCCTTATTTGTGCATCTGTTGATGGGCTGCATTCAAGAGTTCCTGGATTCAGACTTCAAATCCCTGGTTTAAACCAAAGCAACTTGACTTGCTGTAGAAGTCATGACCTTGAATGCATCCCAGAGCGACTGCTGTTGAGAGTTCAGTAATCCACCGTCTCGCTGTGCCTACAGTTTTGTTTACAGGGATTTAAAAGTTGCCAAATTCACTCAATTCATTTGATACAGAATATTATCTGTAGACACAGTAAAATGTTGCCGAACTCTCTGCTGAATAAAACCTCTTTTTTTTTTTATACGTCATTGTGCGGTACAAGATATGGAAACCCTGCCACCTTACTTTTTGTTTTTTTATTGTTTACAGTATATATTCAGTCCATGAATTGGCAGTTTTGACAATATTATTGGGAGAACTTGTTGCTCTGTTGTGTGTGTTATGACTGAGAGTGTGTGTGTGTGTGTGTGTGTGTGTACAAGAGTCAGTAATATCACTGTCGCTTGTACATTAAAATGTTTTGAGAGAGGAATATTCTCAGAAATCTAAGACGTGTACATAGCAAAGAAAGTAAGCAAGACTTTTCAAATGTTTTTTTGTAAAGCAGAAAAACTGCATGTGGGTATTAATTTATTGTGAGTCTTCTATGATGTATGCAGTTTCTTAAAGAAAGAAACTTATTAAAAAATAATAAGTTTACGCCTCTTTGTCTTTTTACAATCAGGTTATCATCAAACGTCATGCTTCAGTGATCTCCTTTGTGTCCGTATCTGCCAACTCTGACCTTCCCCTGTGCAGTTTGTCATAGTCTTTGGGGAAAGCTGGAAATCGACTGGTCAAGTATGGCAAGTGGTTCCACAGTTCATGGGCTTATCAAAAGAAGCCCATGATGAGTTTTCAGTTCAGTCAAGCAGAGACAAAGCCCCACGGACAGTGAACGCCACAGTCTGTCTCAGTGGAGTTAAGGAGTCCTGAAGGGGTTCTGGGAAAGCTTCTCACTTCTGTCTGGAAGTCTGTGAAGCTACACGGCGTGCATCGGGGTGCCGCAGTATTTATGCCACAAGTCGATGGCTTTAGTCACGATGGCGTCCGTATTTTCCTGTGGAATCTGGAAGGAAAACGTTACAGAGGTTATACAAACGCACCTACCGAGAGGAACACATACATAATAGTGTTGTATTCTCATTTACTCACATTGCACAAGAACTTCACCATGCCTTCAGGTCTGTTGATGCCCATCAACATAATCTTGTAGCTCAGCAGAATCTCCAAGGCAACAAACACCAGAATCTTACAGGAGCCGCTGATCACTTTGTCCCAAACCCTAAAAAAATATAAAGGATTTGGTTATATTGACCAATCTAAGGTTAGGAGGGCATAACAACTGTCTTCAGTGTATAACAGGACTGTGGAAGTGACATCTTAACTTTCAGAAGGTGTGAAGGTTGAATGTTTGGGAGCCTGGAAGTGGGTAATATTTCAACAGATTAAAAAGACAGACTCTTTCTGAGTCTGCAGCTTTCAGACGTGTTTACACAGATATATAAAAATACATATGACATTTTATGCCTTAATATGACATAACATTTTTTACACCTTACTATACTATCACATATACAAATTGCTTCCACATCTGAATTAAAACCTTGGGGTATGTAGATTAGATTTTTCAAGGCACAGCGCCTGAGCCAAATGAACCGGAAAAAAAACTACCGCGTGTCGGGCTACAGCCTCCCACACACTGAGGAGCTGACAACAACTACAGTCGTAGCTCTGTGAGTGTCATCACAACCTTTGCCAGTACGAAAGCAATCAGGGTCCTTCATCACACCACCTGTTCAACATGATTTAAACATGTACAAAACCTACATTCATTTCATTTGCCACAAACTTTTGGGGAGGAGATGACCGATAGTGACCTTTGTCTGTGTTCTCCATTCAGCTTCGCTCAGCTAAACTGTATATGCACACTTCAATATTTGTTTATTTATCGCAAGTCACATCGTCATTGCAATATTGAACAGTGTCATCGCAAATTTTCCTCATATCATGCAGGTGTAGACATAAACCTAAGGAACCAATCCTGTCAACTTGTAGGGAGGGGGAGCAGGGCTAAATAAACCTGAAACCTTGTCAGTACAGTGAGCAAGATTTAGCATTAGCAAAACCGCTAACACTGTGTCAGCCGCTGCCAGTTACAAGCTAGTAAACCTAATAAACAAATTAAAGATGCTAACTGCGCTAACCGTTCCGATACATCTGCTAGTCTCTGGTTCTGGTCTCAACAGACTCCTCATCTGAGTCTGGGTCTGACTGAGGCTCAAACATGTGGCTGAGTCTCTGATGTTCCATCTTGATACTCTCTGCTCTTTCACCTGGAGCAAGCAGGTGGGCAGGCTTCAGACCCAGTTTTCCAATTTTGTTTTTTACTTTTTATGTGTGAAAACCATGTTAAACTAAATATTAATCATAGCAGAGGATTTTTACAGAGTTTAAAACATGTCTGGAGAAGAACCTTAAGGTTCATGAGAGGCTAAAGAAAAAAAACGCCATTCTGAATCTGAATGTGTGAAGAGGCCTGGGGGTAAAAATTTCTGACATCTGCTGTTTTTTTGTCTCTTTGTAGTTTGCTAGCAGCACAGATCCAGGCATGAAGCTTATTGTATAATCTATTATAGCAACATCCTAGGTTGCTATAAAAAATATTTTTATCTTCGTTGAGTTAACACATGCTACAAAGGAAACCAGGTTTTCCCAGCCAACAGTGAACTGACCTCTGCAGGCTGGACTCGGGCAGGCAGCCAGCGAAGCAGCGTCTGAACCAGAGGCCGTGGGGCAGCTGAGCCAGAGCACCGGTGTTCTTCAGATGGTTGAGCAGTCGAGGCTCCTCCTGACTCAGATAATGTTCCAGGCTCTTCGGCTGCACCAGAATAGACCAGAACAGGAGGGAAACAACAAAGTCCTAATTCATGGTGACGCACATAAAAAAATAATGTGATCCAAACTCCTGAGTCATGAGAATGTCGTCGCATCAGTTCTGGCGTTTCATAAACAAAATTTACACCATGATTCCTCGTTCGCTTTGTGTCTCTGAGCGCCGTGACGCACAGTCAAAATTACAGCAGGACTATAAAGGAAATACTTCAGTTTGAATGAAGAGTAACTCCTGAAAACCTGACCTCCTAATACAAGGCCTTCAATTCATTTGGCTTTATAAATATAGACCGTCTCATTCAGTGAACAATGACACCAGTGTTGTGAATTTTAAAACCAGTCAACACTCGAATTTGCAGCTGCTGCCTTAGAAAACAGTATAATCTTTGTCGGAAGCAGCAACTCGATATGTTGTTTTTTTTAATCTATGATAAATTCAGATTTTTATTGTATTTTTTTCTGATAATCAATTTGCTTTTGAGCAATGATTCTTAGCATAAGGTTTACTTACTAGAAATCTCTGATAGTTTGAAGCATATTTCATCCACTGATGCAGGTCACAAGATGTAGCTTAAAGTTATTGTTCTGAGAATCTTTTTTATCTACTACTATTTGTTACTATTTTCAGAGTAAAGTTGCTTTGAAACTTAATATTTGCCGATGTCAAATGTCCTTACAAGATGAGGTATTGAGTCTCCAAACTTTGTGTGGAACTGATTGACGAAACACTTGATCAGCCAGTAGCAGTCGACGGGATCATCTACGATCTCCTCCATGGCTCTGCTGATGGAGAGGAAGTCCTCGTTTTCTTCATCCTGAAAAAAAAAACAACAACACAACATCACACGTTACAGCACCAGAGAATTAAGGAAGGAAGGAACTCAAGTATCAGCAGCCTATGAAGAACAGTGACAGTGTTTGTCTATCACAACATAAACAAATAGACTTGCAGAATATCATATCAACATATCATTTTTCAAAATAACAAAAAACTGTAGCACTCAGATGTAAAAATACAGAGGAATACTGTTATTTTTATATTATCAAAAAATGCAACAAAAAAAAAAGAGTAATGTCTGTGATTCACAGATCTACACAATTTCTGACTTGAAGATTTCACAAATGTGACCCAGTTGGTGAGAGAGACCTATTGAGTGGGATTTGAACACATCTTCACTACCATGTAACTCTGAGTAGTTTCCCTGTTTAATTATGAACCCAAATACATTTAATTAACCAGTTGCTGATGTGGTAGTAAAAATACAAAGGGTTTGTTTTTGTGGTAATGACTGTGAGTGATGTTTTAACTCTTGGTATGGCAGGCTTTCAGTATAATCAGCTATGTGTTAACCGCTAATTTCACACTCTCCTGTTATGAATAATAACTCATAATGAAAAGCTCAGAGCTAACCTCAAATATCTGCAGCTGTTTCAACAGTGAGGCATCCATTAATTACAGTAACTTCAGCAGGCCACAGTATGTGCCCATACTCATACAACTCATACTTGTTTTCTAATGAGTACTGCTTAAGACCGTCAGTCGAGCATCTAAAACACATCTGTCCTATCACATCCTGAACAGTTCAACCCAACCTTAAACTGTGATCAATGTCACCAAACATCATCTTATAATGTGTTTCAGATATGACAGTAATACTCTGATTGTTATTCTTACCGGGGGCATGGTCTCGGAGCATCGTGGGAGTACCTGGCTCTCCAGCTGGAACATGCGTAGGTAGACATGGGTGGAGGGTGTGAAGGAGTTGATGTATCTCATGACCTCCAGAGCCTCCAGGATGTCCTGGTACTGCCCCTTTCTGTAGCATCCAACCAGAGTGTGAGAGTCACTGTGGGGTGGCAGAATGCCTGCAGGAGCAGGAGAACAGGGGTCAGAGCCAAGGAGAATTTTCACTAAATAAAATGGATAAAAGTGATTCATTTGAATGAAGCTAAACAGGGTTTTCATCATCCTGTTCAAGGTAGCTTACATAATAAAAAGAAAACAACTTTGTTCATGTTCTACTGTAGATTTTACCCACATCACCTCGTCCTATTTGCACAGCTCCTGGAGCAGGACTTGTGATGCTGTGTGTTTACTGGTCATGTGTGTTTCTTACCCAACAGCACCTTCCACACATGGATCCTATACATGGAGGGGAGGGGGAACCTCTGACTGAAGGTGCTCAGCTTTTCTAGGTCTGTTAGAGAGTAAAACATGTCTATTAACTCAACCACAACTCAATGATGAAGAAATCATGGACACACAAGTGGTGGAACAATGTAATGTGATAACATAATTAAAGTGTAAACAGTATATACAGTATACAAATACTATGGTAGCCATGTGTTCCCACACGAGGCAGTAATCTCATATTTAAATGAGCATGCTAATAGGATAAACTAGAAAACATAGCAATTCCTATTAAAAGCTGCACACACACACAGTTTCTTTATTTATTGATATTTTCTAATTTTGATACATTTATCATGTATGTCTGTATGTTCCTGGTGTGATATGTGTTGCATGTGATGAGAAAACTAAGTATTATGTTCTTGTTTTGATGCAAAAATAAGTAAACAGTGTTTATGCAGATGGGATAAGACAGAAAATAGAATAATAAATTCTTCTAGTAAATCCTACTAGACGTCTGTCTGCATTTTGAGAAAGAGTGATGCTGTAAAAATTAATTATTATGCCTTTATTGTCCATTTCTGTATGTTCCTAATGTTCACATGTGATTAAGGGCAGCCACTAATGATTGTTTTTATCATTGGTTACTTTATCATTTATTTTGTTGATTTATTGATTAGTCATTTGATCTGTCAAATGCCTGAAAATATCCATTCAAACTCTCCTGAAGCCAAAGCTGATGTCTTTAAATGTCTTATTGTCTAATAAATAGTTCAGAACCCAAACATACAGCTGTGACTATCACAGGAGATCATTGGAAACCAGAAAATATCACATTTGAGAGCCACATTTTCTTATTTAACCACCAATTTCAGCATTAATGCCAAGTTTACACTCAGCCTTCATCTGTGTGCTGGTGAATATGAACTGTTACCTACCCAGAGGATTATCCTTGAGCAGTATCTCCAGTGATTTCTTCTCCTCCACTCCCCTGAAGCCCACCTTCTCATAATACGCAGAACGGAAGTTTCTCTGAGGGTCGTCAGCCATGGTGAGACCTGGTCAGCGACACCTGCACATCATCCCCAAAATCCTTCAGCGTGAAGCTTTACTTACTTTTTTGAGTCATAGATAATATTTTACATCTTTACTTTGCAGGGCATGGCTGACTTTAATGGAAATAAATTATAATACATGTGTGTTAGTAGACTGGAGTCACAAATGTTGGCTCCTACCTTGGTGTTCTCTCACGTCTCCTGCCTGTAGTCGGTGTCAACCTACAGCTTCAAGCTAGCTGCTACATAACTCCAGACAACAAGCTAATGTTAGTTTAGACACACAAACCGAACACCTCCAAACTTTCTGTGATGTAACGTTTGACTTAAACTACGAGACGACGACAGGACATTTAGCTGGACGCCATTGTAGCAGTGCTGATGCAACATTTCCAAAGATAAATTGATGGTGCGGTCTGCTGTATGGTAGCTACAGCTACTGTTGTTGTTAGCAAACACTTCCGGGTGGAACTATCAAAATAAAATCCTTGAGAGATTCTATACAGTACTCAAATGTTTCATGGTTCCCGCGGGGCCTTGATATTCTGTAAAGATTATGAATTTGAGAAAACAAAAACAAGGTACTGAAAGTTTTTGAAAATGGACGAATAAACGTTTTTATGTTTTTTTTTTTTTAATTATTACATAACGTTAGTAAATAGGCAAGGTGTCACTGTCTGCATGTGTGCAAGAGACTACAGTCTGTCATCACTTTAACAGTTGAGAAGTGTTCACACATTCAAGCCTCTCTTTTTTTTATTTGTTTTTCTGTGAGCATCTGTAAACAGTAATTAAACTTGATCTGTGTCTCAAACTATGATGTTGGGTCCTTGAATTTGAGGGAATTGGGCCTGGAAAGTCCTTGAAAAGTTCTTAAATTAGATGTTTACAAATGTGTGGGGTTAGGGTTAGCCATAATATTCCACCCCTGAAATGTTTTTCTCAGTGGCTACTGTAAAACTGATATACACATATGAAACAAATCATAAAGGCCCCAAATTGCCTTTTCGCAACGAGGAATAACAGTTATTCAGCGACTATTCAGTGAAGTTATTTACCATCATTTATTGAGAGTCCCTGAATGAGAGTCATAAATAACCTGAAGACTATAATGGGGACAATATTGTTCTATATTGTTTTATGAAAATCAATTACAGTGTGTAAGCTGCTCCACAACTGATTATAAGAACAAACTTATGCTGCATCTTGTTTTGTTTTATTACGTTTCATATACTAATGCATGTATTTATATAAGTATGTAATCTTGCTTCTTTTTTTAAAAATTTTATATCATTTAATGAATTTCTTGTAGCTAGGTTTTTTCTATGGACGAGTAGCTTATGTATCGATCTATATAAATACGCTTTTATTTTGAAGGATCAAATTAACCAGAGTAGCATCTGCTTTCTGCAGAAACAGCTTTTCCAGCTTGAATATCTGCTTTTAAATAAATACATACATTATTACTATGCTTTGTCATTTGTCCACAAGGAAATCTCATATTATGGGCATAGGGATGTCCAAAATGCACACATATAACAATTTAACATGTATGCACTGCTTACAAAACCTAGACGCATCACTGACTGAAAGATTTCTAAATTACCTGAAGAAACACAAATCACTAAAACATGATGTGGAATGTTAAATAAATTTCAAGCAATTTGGCCCAACTGGAAAATTACTATGTAGCTATTTACACAACAGTATCCTTGTGTATGATTATTGATATACATAGATACTACAACAAAACTGAGTTTGGCAGCTATCCACTCCTTATAGTAGCATAAAAACATCTACAGAGATGAATAAGAAAATAGATGTATAAAAAGGTCATTATAAATATTCATAGAATAAATATTCTTATAAAGTACTTAGGCTAAGTGTTGTATCTTTAATGAGTGCTGTTTTATACTGTAACAGAATAAAGGTCCCCTTCAAGTTGTGGTTATAAATATCAGCATGAAACTGACCATGAATAAGAAAAGTCATGAATCATTATGAGTAAAAGGTTACTTTTTATTGTGAGATACTGAGAAACAGTTACAAAACTGGAAGCACTAAATTGCAAGGAACCAATGGTTAATAAGTGATAATGAGCTAATGTATGCAACCCAACCATTCATCCCACCCCGTACAATGTAGGCACACAGGATATTATGGTGTCAAATACGTGTAAATATACCACCCTTATAGTTTACAAAGGAGGAAGGAAGCGCTGCATGGCTCCAGCTGAGCCGACAGGTGCTCTTTAGTGAAGCAGTTTTTTTATACCACCCTTAAGTTACCAATACAAAGCTTAAAAAGAAATTACATTTTATGAAGATTCTAAAAAATATATTTGAAATATGTGTATGCAAAAGTTTGGCCATCATTTTTAAGCTCATTTTATGGTCACCAACAATTATATTAACATACGCTTAATTTTCAATCCAAATACCTTAAGATGGCATCCATTAATACTATAGTCAATTTTCACAAAACATATCTTGGTGGTGTTCATTCTCATGATCAATTCAAGTAGTATTTTAAAAGCATAGCAACACCAAAGCTAAAACCTAAAACTCTGCAAAAAGTTTAAGAATTTAAAATGTTAAACCTTGAATTTTCTCCTCATACACAAGACACTTTTTTTTTTCTTTAACACAGTTGAACACTGAAAATGTTCAAACAAAATCTGATTAATTTGCAAGAAAAGAGCATGCATGCACAGGACCTGATAAGTGCATAGCACAAGCTAGTATGAAGCTAGTTGAAGCTAGTATGACTGTAGCGAGTACTTAATATGGCAGGGGAGCCTAGGTCCACACTGCTTCTGCGGGAGCTTCGTCGTGAGCCACTCCTAGAGCCTGTGGTGGATCCTGGGGTAGAGGAGACATTGTATGGACTGCTAATCCCTCTGGAAGACATAGACGATGCCTGTAGCATCTTCACCCCGGTGCTTTCCTCCACCAGGCAGTTATCCAGAGCATCCTTGTAAGAGATCTTAAGCTTGCTCTTGGGGCAGGTCAGATTCTTTGTGTGGTGTTTTATGTCCTGGAGCTTCTGGGGTGATCTCCCATCCAGCCAGCCCATTTTCAAAGCATCTTCTATTGATCTTCTACAGCCCAATTCTGGGTCATGAAGCCCCCCTGTTACATACTGGAACTCCATGAACCTCTGTCCTGCCTCATATGGCAGCCACATTTCCTTCATGGCCTCAGCAACAGACATCTTCTTCCTGGTTTTTACATCCTCAAAGCCAACATAGGCTTTCTGTGCAGGCTTCAACTTAGAGGCCATGTCATCATTTATTATGCCAAGGCGAGAGGCCTCTTGGATGCCAAGCCGACGGCCATTTGTGGGATTGACGATCCCTCCAGTGCAGGCTTGGGCCTCCAGAAGTCTCTGGGCAGTGATGGAATCCACCAGACCACGATTTAGAGCCTCTGTGATGGATATTTTCTCCAGAGTCTCTGTGTCAAAGATGGCACCCACTGGTTCCTGTTCAACCACTGTGTCAACAGGAGAGGCCAGAGTGACGGACATGCTGGATAAGTGCTGAAAAGAGTCAAGTGAGTCTTGAGAACCACTGCTGAATGTGCCTGCTTGCTTTGTGACAGTGGTGGTTCTTCTTGTTGTCATCTTGGCAAGAGTAGGTGATAAGGGTCTTGACATGACAGATGATGATGATGATGATGTTGTCATTAAAGATGTAGCTGAGGCTGCTGATGGCCTTGATGATGATGATGATGATGATGATGATACTGATAATGATCCATGATGTTTTGTCTTTTTAGTGATGATATCTGCAAATTGATTCAAGCTGATAGCTTGTGAGCGGTACCGATCTAGATCCGACTGATCAATTAATCGCTTTTCAAGCAGTTCAGTGATGTCATACTGTCTTCCAGTCATCTTGTCATTGATAAGAAACTGAGTAGAACCATCTGGAGCTGTGATGGTGATCTCTTCCCACTCACACTCCTGCTGGGACAGCTCCAGGTACGTGTCGTGGTCAATGTATCCTTTGTCGTATGCTTCACGCACCGTCATCTCTTTGTTAATTTCTGGAACAACAATTAGCACCCTCCTCTTTCTCAGAGTCGACTCTGACTTTGTCTTGTCAATGATGGTCAAAAGGATTAGGCCAGTCTTCTTATCTGTCATACAGCGTTTCTTGAGCTCCTGATATGTTAGGTTTTCCTCTGTGTTGGGGTCAAAGAAACCTTTCGTTTCAACACCCTGACTGGTCAGGATCCTGTTCATTTTTTCATCAAAGTAACCTCTCTTGTAGGCGACATTGATGTCAATACGATGGCTGTGTTCAGGATCAATGATGCCACCGCTGGCAATTTGGGCCTCTAGGAGACGGATGCCATGACCCCTCTCCACCAGACCTCTCTCTATGGCCTGAAAGAGGGAGATTGTCTTGTCTGTACCAGGCAGTGTGTAACCAGTCACAGCCCTCTCTGCTGCGAGTAGGTTGTCCTTTAACTCTGGCCCAAACAGTTTTCTATTATAGGCATCATTAACACTTAAATATACCTTGTTGACAGGATCCACTATAAAACCTGAAGCAGCCTGGGCCTCAAGCAGCTCCAGAGTGGTGCCTGGTCGCAACAGTCCCTCTTTCATGGCCTGATAGATGGTCATCACCTTCTCGTTGGCCTCATCATAAACTCCTGCGATACAGGTGGAACCTCTCAGGTAGGGGCGCAGTCGTTCTTCAATGTCCTGTTTCGTTAGTCTACCATTGCTCAGCTGGTCCATATCATGCCGTTCCAGAAGGTTTGCATCCACCAGATCTATGACTGACACCTGGTCCCTGATCCCCTGGACGGTTAATGGCTTTTTAGGTTCAGGGAGAAGCAGAAGACCTGTGCTTGGATCATTTTTGCATTTTTTTTTCAGAGACACATAGGTAGTTGCTTGTTGGGTGTCTGGGTCCAGATAACACTCAGGAGATTGATTCAGGGCCCGGTATAGTTCTTCATCGATGAGACCCCGATTCATAGCAATGTCTCTGGGTAGAAATACACTGAGGACAGGGTCCAAAATCCCCCCTACAGACTCTTGAGCCTGAAGTATACGTAAAGTTGTGTCCCTGTCAATCAATCCCCTCTTCATGGCCTGGCCCGCTGATAGAAGCTTGGCAGAACTTGGATCTCTGTAACCTACAGCTGCGGCCTCAGCTGCAAACAGCTTTGATTCATCCTCTTTATCCACCACTCCTCTGGCACATGCTTCTTGTACTGTCAGTTTCTGATTAGTTCTGGGGTCAATGATGTGTCCTGTAGCTGCCTGAGCATCAAGCAGCATGTCAGCGCAGTTAGAAGGCATAATCTTCTGTTTCTTTGCCTCTGTGAAGGACATTTTCTTTGAAGGTCCAGCTGCAACACCAGCAATTGACCCGGTCCCCTTCAGAAAGACTTTCTTATCAACAGACACCTCTGCGACAGTTTTCTCCCCCTTCATTAGTTGCTTGAATGTTGCTTTGTCCAGGACCCCAACGTCAAGCAGCTGCTGTGCTGTGACAGGTTTCCGAACACCATCGAAGACAAGTTTGGAGGCGTCTGTCTTCTCAGAGACAGGAAGAAGCAGGAGGCCTGTGTGTAGCTCAACCTTACATCTCCTCTTCAATGACATATAAGTTGCACCCTCCTCACTTTCTGGGTCCATGTAGAGCTCAGGCTTCTTATTCAAAGCACGATATATGTCATCATCAATTAGATCACGCTCAATGGCTGTGTCTTTGGGGAGGAACACACTGAGTGCTGGATCTAGAATTCCCCCCACAGACTCCTGTGCTTGTAGCAGACGCAGTGTTGTGTTCTTGTCAATCAGTCCTTTCTTCATGGCCTGAAATGCTGAAAGAGGTTTGCTTGTGCGAGGACTATTATATCCTACAGCTGCAGCTTCTGCTGCAAGCAACCTCTCTCTATCCTGTGCATCAATTACGCCTTGATGATATGCCTCATCAACTGTCAACTTCTGATTGGTTCTTGGGTCAATGATGTGGCCTGTGGCAGCCTGAGCGTCCAGCAGCAGGTCAATGCAATCTCTTGGCAGGAGATTCTCTTTCTTGGCTTCGGTGAAAGACTGTTTAAGCAGGAGTCCAGTCATGGACTCAGGGCCTTCTGGACCTTCAATTACCACTCCAGCAATTGGGCCTGTCCCTTTTAGACTGACTTTTTTGTCGGCAGACACTTCAGGGACACTTTTATGTCCCTTTGCAAGCTGGCTGAATGTTGGTTTGTCCAATACACCACAATCAAGCAACTGGTCTGCTGTGACTGGTTTGCGGACTCCATCAAAAATCACAGAGGAGGCATCCAAGGGTGGGGGCTCTCTAAGTTTCTTCAGCTCAGTCTCCATGGTTTGTCTGACATTGGTCATCTCTCGCAGTTCTTTCTGGATGGCCGACAGCCTACCTTTATACATCTCCTCGAGCTCCCTGAGTTCCCTCATCAGTCTATCTATCTCACTCTTCAAATTGTTCTTTTCCCTCTCCAGACACTCCTTGTCTGTGTCAAATTGCCTAATCAGGCTCTGCTGGCTTTCATGTTGGTCCTTCCAGTAACTCACATCCCTCTTCAACCTCTCAATTTCCTCCTGGAGACGTTGTTTGTTGCGAAGCTCAGAATCTAGGGACAGTTTAATGCGACTGAGTTCCTCCTCAACCGTTTGGAGGCGATCTTTGTCTTTTCCTGACAATTGCAATTTCAGCAACAGAGCATCTCTATCCTCTACAATCTCACTGTACTGGGACTGAGTGGATTGCATCGTGGCTGTTATCTGCAGGAAGACAAAGGGGAAAAAGCAGACAGAGAAAAGGTCAACTCAGAAATACATTGATAAATTTACATTGTGTTATTTACTGTTTTTGCATTTTACATAATCAATGACACTGGAGGTGGACAGCACACAGATTTTTTCTAACTGCATTTGTATTCATTTAAACTGTGAAACGATGACATGGTGTTAAAAGTAAAACTACCAAATAACTCAAATTTAATGATGATCAAAACATATAAATAGTCTGTGTGCACGGTGCCAAATTATCATTTGCTTTGTTAAGCTAGCACTGTATTATGAAAACTGCTAATTCCCTTCAGGAAAAGATGAAAACAAGACAATGTCTTACATGACTGGGAAGTAATAGTATATAAGCAATGACATTACAGTCATCACTTTTTAAAGAAAAATTAAAAATTATCCAAATTCTCTAAATCTACTGCTTTTTATTGTGAAATCAACCTTCCCAATCCTGCAGAGAAACAAAATATACTGACTCGTTTAAAGCAACAAAATAAGCAGACCAACTACTTTAACTATGACTTTGTTCAGTCTACATTCTGCAAATCTACAAACAGCACAAATACATATACAGGAGCCAGGATTGATTGACTGGTCTCAAACTGTAAGAGGATGTGCCTCAAATAGTTTTAGAAATTCTGGATATTTTAGGTTTATATTAGTGCTATTTTTACAAATTTGCACAATGTGTCCATTAACACCATTAAGATGCAACAACAACATTGAAACTGTAGTAGACCAGAGGATCGGCGGTAGTGATGTCACTGACAATGTTGATCATTCTGGGAAAAAGAAGAAAAGGCAAAAAAGCATGCAGCCATTTTAGCTCAGCGTTGGTACGGAGGGACACAGAGGGTTGAGGGTTTGCATGCAAGTGATTCACATGCAAGTTTATTCAAACACATACAGCTGCATGTGTTCAAATCAGAGTTACCAAGGGAGAGACATCTATAGGGCATCTACAGGCGTTCTAGTATGCAAGCAAGAGTTTGGTTACAGAAAGTGAGAGCTACTGGATCATTCCAAAGTAGGACTCTGATTTGGAAAGCCGAGAACAGTCCAGGATTAAGTGCCAAACTGCCATGTACCTCGGTGACCTGCTTTTGTATTCTCTCAGTCTCCAGCTTGAGTTTCTCCCTCTCAGAGGAGAGCTCTGACACCAGGTTGCGGTATTCTACATTGCTGCGCTCAGTGGCCTGTAGCTGCAGCTGCAGGGCCGTTATCTGGGAGGAGAGCTCATCATCGCTTCCCTGTTTGGATCTCAAGAGTTCCTCTTTATCGTGTCTTGCCGTCCTTAGCTCTTCTTCCAGCCTCAGCCTCTCTTTGGTCTGGGTTTCTGTCATCTCCCTCAGCCTTTGAAGCTCAGTGGAGTTCTCATTCAGTGCTTTACTCTTCTCCTCGATAGTTCTGTAAAGACTCTCATTCCTGAGGTTGGCCTCTTTGACCCGGGCCTGCTCCTGGAGTAGTTGTTGCTGCAAAGCCTTCAGCTCTGTGCTCAGCTGTGTCGTGTTTTCCGAAGAGGTCTTATTTTGTCTCAAGCTTCTCTCCAGCTCCTCCTGCAACCTTAGACGCTCTTCTTCGCCTCTCTTTCCTGATGTGTTGGTTTGCTCTAGGCTCTGGCGAAGCGAAGCGATGGTGTTTGTGTACTCTGTCATGGTCATGGTGGACTTTTCCAGCTCTGTTTCTAACTGCCGTCTTCTGGCCACTTCCTCTTGGCTAGCCTTCCTCAGATTCTCCACCTGGCTCTCCAGCCCGTCTCTCACAGTCTGGACATCCTTGATGCGTACCTGTAACCTGCTCAAGTTTTGTTCTACTCTGCTTCGCTCCCTGCTCTCCCTCTCCAGCTCCACACGTATCTTCTGAAGCTCCTCCTCGCACTTTCTCAGCTGGGTCGCAGCCATTGATGAATTAGTTAGCTTCACCTGCAGCTGGGCCACAGTCTGTTCCAGCACACCCTGACCTTCCTCTGTGGTTTTCCTCCTGCGGGTTTCCTCCTCTAGACTATGTGTGACGTAGGCCAGCTGCTCACTCTTCTCCTGCAGCTCGTTCATGGCCTCAGCCAGCTCTTCTCTATACTTACTGCTCTCCTGGTCTCTCTGCCTCATCAGCACCTCCACCTGACTTTCCAGCTCTCTCCTCCTGCGCCCTTCCTCTGTGATGACAGCACGCTGACTGTGAACTTCCTCCTCTGTCCTCTTTTTTTGTTCCTCAGTCTGGCTGATAGACACCCTGAGCCTTCTGAGCTCCTCCTCCAGATTCCTCCTCTCTGCCTCCATCCTGTCATACTGCAGCTGGAGCTCAGTTGTATCCTCCTCCCTCTGTGCCGCCAGCCTCTGGACGTCTGTGCGACTGATGTGGATCTGGGATTCGTAGCTCAGCTTTAAGTTACTGATCTCCTCACTGCATTGGCTCCTTACCTTTGATATCTCCTTCTGCAGCTCCTTCACCCTCGCTGTTGCATCATCCAGCTGCCGCCGCAGCAGTTCCAGCTCGTGATCCTTAGTGGCCACACTCTTCTCATACTCCACCTTGGACCAGCTGACTGTCTCCAGCTCCTTCTGCCTCTTCCTCAGCACAGACTCATACTCCTCCTGCTGCTGAGTGTAGCGCTCCTCTGCCAGCCTCTTCTTTCTCTTTTCCTCCTCAAGCAGGTAGGTGAGTCGTGTCACCTGATCGTTGAGGTCTGTCAGCTGGCTCTGAGTGGTGTCCAGGCTTTCCTTGGTGGCATTGCACTGCATCGCCGTGGTGCGCTCCACCTCCTCAATCGACAGCATCTTTTCCTGGCACGTGGTCACCTGCAGCTGGTAGCTGGCGAGTTCGTCTTCCAGGGATTTGTTCTTGGCGTCGCGATCTTGGATTTTCTCCCTCAGCTGGCGAAGTTCCTCTTCCAACAAGTCGTTCCTGGTGTTACAAATCTGGAAGCAAGACAAAGCAAAGACGAATGCAGAGGTATTAATTATATTTTGATGTAGTTATGTAATGAAAACACAACACTTCACCGAATTGTATTTAAGTAATTGGTTGGAATGGATTTAACTTCGTCATGAAATCACCCATCGAACAAAGATTAGCCTATCCATGGTTTCTTTAAACCTGCATCATTGATTTTTTTGGCCACAACAGGCTGTAAACACAACAGTGACATATTATCACCTCAGCGACACCAAGTTGATAAAGTGTTAACAAACATTTTCTGACTTACACACCAACCAACAATGTTCCAATCAGCTTTCCTTTTAGCTCCGTTTTGGTCTCAATCGAGTTCTGAGGAAAAATATCTTTTGCTATCTTTAATTTTCCAATATGTTTCATCATCTAGTCTCAAACTTTGATAGTCTGCCATTTAGTTCTGGAAACGAGAACTGGTAAAAATTTGTCACAACGAGCAATTAAAATATTTTCCCGTTGATAATATAACAACAGTCATTAGTGCAGCTTTCAAGTTTTTTTAAAAGGTTGAATTTCCAACACTGACAGATGTGACTGTAACACAACACTTCACTTAAAGCAGAGGTGTCCAAACTTTTTTGAACAGGGGCAAGATTTGATCATGTGAAAATACCTGGGGGCCATGCTGTGTGAAAAGCCACTGCTGGGAGGCTAAGCTAGCTCTAAGATGTTTCACTTTTTTTCTTTTTTTTTTTCTTTTTTTTTTTTACCAGCGACAGTCTCTTGGCAAATGAGACAAACAGTGAAAAAGTATTCAACTTTCCACTGCTCCTGAAAGCAGCAGCCCTCACCGTTGAGCTTCTTTGCTGTGGCCAAGACTGCTACCTAGTAGCAAATGTTTGTTGCCTGTTTACGGTCTCTTTATTCCAACAGCATTGTAGACATGTCTACCAACTGTAGGATCGTGCTGCCATGGTGAGGTGAACGGGAAAAACGCAAAGTGAAAAAACGCTAAAATGTCAAAACCAAACATAAAAAGAAAAAAAAATTAAATATTCACTAAGGTACAGCACAACCACAAATGTTATTAAAAAGTATAGGAAGAAGAACAGTACCTTGAGCTCCTCCATTTTTATGAGCAACTCTCCCAGGAATTTGTAGTAGTCACCAGACAGGGTAAACAACTCCATGTAACGGGTCTGTAGCTGTATAGCCTGGAACACAGACACTCAAGGATTAATTCATGTATCATCTCAGTGAATTTCACAGATACATACCTCCCCTCAAACCCCTCCTTCAACCCACAAGACTAAAACAGAAAACATTTTTTTTCTGTTACAGGTGGGTCACAACAAGCAGCTTGAGTGCAGCTACCTCCTGATGAAGATCCACTGATGGGGAGTTCAGCATTGTCCTCTTCACAGGGATGTTGAACAAAGTCTCTAACCCAGATGTGTATGAGGCGAGGTCTGTTTCATAGTCCTGTAAAGAAACACAGTCATAAAAGTAGGAAAATACAATGAAATATATACATATATATATACAGTACAGTATACAGTACAGTATATAGTTTATATAGGCTTCCTTACCTTGATGGAGTTCACACAGGCCACATTGTCCCTAAGCACACTCTCTACTGTCTCCCTCTTTGCTTTGATTTCTGCATTCAGGTCCTTGAAAAAACAACAATATAAAGCTGTCAGATGTCTGATGACATAACAGACATGGATACAGACCCTACACACAGTGAGCAAGTGAATGAAGCAGAAGACCTTCTGGGTGTTAATATGGTCCTTTAGCGCTTGGACGCTCTCAATCTTGGTGGCCTGCAAGACGTCCTGTCTTTTCCGTGTTGCATCGATCCATTCAGAAAGGGAGGAGCTGGTTTGCTTGTAGTGTTGCAGCTGAGGCAGATACAGCTGCAGATCCCGGAGCCTGGACAGGAAATGAAAAGGGGGAAATTCAAAAGAGAACAGCATAACATCAGCGTGTTTATCAAGAGACACTTTTACAACAGTTCCCACTTGGGAAATATACAGAGGAAGGCTGAGAGAGCGATTTGCCTTTTACACAAATCTCTGATCCGATGCAGGTTGAATCTATAAAATGTCTGTCTCAACATCCGAAGGCTCAAGTTGCCATTTAAAAATAATTTGTTTAGCTTTATCAACAGTTATTCATTTTTCAGATGATTGTCTTATCAATGAATTTACAATGTTTCAGCAATAGCTGTGTCCAGCAATCCATATAGATGATGACCACTGTGACATCAGGGTTTGGAGCTTGTTTCAAACTAGAACTATGCCTCCACCAACCAGCCAAGTTGCAGGAAATATGGTCACAATCTGCCCTCCTGAGCTACAACATTAATGTCCAAAAGTGTTTTTGCATTGGGCATTCCTGAGGTCACCATGACCTTGAACTTTGACTTTTGACCGCCAAATCGAATCAGTGACCTTTGAGTCCAAGTGAATGTTTGTGCCAAATTTGAATAAGTTCCGTCAAGGCGTTACTGAGATATTGTGACCATGAGAACAGGACGGACAGACAACCCAAAAACAATAGGCCTCTGGTTCTGGCTGTCACCGACACGGAAGAATAAAATTTTGCAGCATAAGATCATTTTCTCTCCATTAATTTTGACATGTTTCATTAATAAAAAAAAAATCACCATACTTGTGATCCATACATGGGATGCCAGAGCGTTGTTTATTTGCAATTTGCAATTTGCAATTTGCAATTTGCAATTTGTGTGTAAACAGAGCTTCAAAATTGTTTTTGTGAAAATGGCCCCGATCCATATGCGGCAAACAGTTTAACAGTAAATACTCATGACATCGGACGAGTGATTAACTGGCAACAATATGACACACTGCCTGACCACTGGTCCATTCCTGCACCTTGTTTACCAGCTTAGAGGTGTTGCAGCTCTTCATGTTGGTGTTACAGTCAGTAACCTGGACACATGCATAGTTCTTGGTATAAAATGGGTATGAGGGAGTGAGAGAGAGAGAGAGACATACCTGACATCAATCTGTCCCAGGATCCGTCTCCAGCGGTCTGACAGCAGCCCCACCTGCTCTGTGTGTTTTGACAGCATAATGGGACACCTGTGGAAGGCTCCGCCCACGTGGCTGCTGCAGTGGCTCACTTTGGCAAACTCTGCCTCCATGGAGGCCAAAGCATCCTTTTTCTGTTCCAGCTCTGCTTTAACACTCTACACATCAACAACACAGGAAACAACAGTCAGAAGTGACATAAAAGAATCATAGGATATACTAGACACAACAAGAGAAAGGAACTCCCCAGCCTCCTCACATTTTTTGCTAAGTCAACCTGATGGGTGACCACTGAGCCATGCACTAATATGCACTGGTATTCTGTCTGAGCTGCAGCTTGCCAGCTACAAAGCTCAGTGGCAAAGCAGAAATAGCTAGAGGAGGGCAGTTTTCTTTGAACCAATTCTCTACAATAGATAATAACTCCAATATCTTCGCTACAGATTGATGAAATTTGTGTATGAAAATGCAACATGTCTTATAAAATACCTCCAGGGTCAATATATAATCCTCCACTTCACTGGGTGACAGAGAAGTGGTCTCCTTCTCCGTCAGTCTCGCTTCATGAACTTTCACTATGTCCTCAGCTAGTGCCACACTCTCCAGCATGTCCCTTAGAGCCTGCAGCCTGAGAAAGATGAAGAGATGTTTGATAGGTGTAGAAAGTCATTACAGAAAGATTGAGGTACATTTATCTTCTAGATGATGTGGGTGAGCTGTAAGTATGAGCATCTCCCTGGTAATTTGTGGGTGTAAATCAGGGGTACTTTACAAACAACAAAACTTGAATCAATAAAGTCTGCTGGAAAAGACAACTTTGATCTAAGGTGTTAAAACTGCAGTGCTCCTATAATTAGAGCATGACCTTTATACACTTTGTAACTATTTGTAACTTTTGTTAGTTTATTTAATTTTTTTTCATAAATAACGATCTGCCTGTATCTAAGCTTTACTGTCTGTTTAAACTCCTAAAATCACTGGTCAACTCACAACTATAGCCTCCCCTGGAGGGTAATAATGGTATTACCAAGCTTGATGAAAAGCAACACTGTGCTGCACTCTCTGAATCTGCCCCAGTCTTTAAATATTGTTGATTACACTTTGTTCGATGAACAGCATTCCCCAAATTTGATTGATCTGTTGACAGCTGGTTTAACTTATATCTTTGTAGAGCTCAAAGTGTTTCTTCCATAGGTTTGCAGTCCAGCCCCTAAAATGGTGTTAAATGTGTCACACTGTGATCAATACTTGGTCCCTTGCTTTACTTTAGACACACAAAATAAATACAAAAAATATTTCCAAACACCTGCTCAGCACTTTTGTGTGTATCTTTATGCAGATGATATCATGTTGTACGTCTTCAGCTCCGCTGCCAACCAGGCCCTCTGCTGGTTACAGTGTGTCTCATTAGAAAGTTGTTCTAAACTGTTGCTCTCATACATTCCCAAAATGGTCATCTAATATACATCTTGCTCATAAACTTCTATTCTAAGAGACAACTTGATATGTGTGTGAACTTTTTGTTTGTTGTTTAAATTACTTGATCTCAAGATGTCTACAGCTTACTAAGCCTGAGTTTGTGTGCTGTACCTCTCTAAGGAAGATGAAGAGCTGCTATCCAGACTGCTCAGTCTTTGGTCGATGACTTCAATCTCACTGCGGAGGAAATTGGCTTTATCTGCATCATTCATGCCCTCCAGCTCCTTAAGGATACTCTCCTTCAGACACAAGTAGTCCTTACGCATCAATTCAACATCACACTGCACCGTCTAAAAGAGAACATACACACAAATACAGTTACTGTAATGAATATGGTGAATAGGACGTGTTTTCAATGCTCCCTGCTTGTATTTCTGAGTTTGTGTGTCTACCTGTAACTCTGTGATCCTGAGGCCACAGTTGTGCACCTCATCTTCTCCGAGGCAGATGAGGCAGACGTGCTGACTGAGCAAGCTCTCAGCGCTCTCCAGCCTCAGTCTGAGCGCGTACAGCTCCGATAGGCTGCGAGATGTCACTTTTTTCTTCCCCTGATCCGTCTTGGTCCCTTTCACTTCCTTCTTCTTCACCTCCGTTTTCCTCTCCGCCTGTTTTTTCAGCTCCGCTTGCCGTCGTTCTTCCTCGAGCCTCATGGCCTCTGCGTCGGCAGCAGCTACCTGTTCCTGCTGCTGTATTATAATAATCTGCTGTTGTTGTTGCTGCTGTTCCATTTGTTTCAGATGTGCAACTGAGGGAAGGCACAAGATACGTTTTTAGATCTGGTAAAGGAAAACACCTATAGGTGGGGGCATGAAGAGACTTTGAACAGACTGCTGGTTTCAGATGCTACAAAAATTGTCAAAAAAATGGGGCATTTTCTAACCAAATATTTCATCACTCTTCTGATGCAACTCCACATACAGTTTATTTTTTACACAGTATTTTGTAATACTAACTGTAAGCGGGCAGCTGCACCACCAGCTGGTCATAGTGGGTCTGGGCCCCGCTGTATTGGTTCTCAATGCTTCTCTTGTCATCATCAGCAAACATCTGGGAGTTTTGGCAGACCAGCTTGAACTCCTCGTAGTGAGTCTCCAGGTTCTTGATAAGTTGGCGATACTCTTCAGGACGCATCTTGGACAGCTGAACACACACACAAATATTATGTTTGACTTAGGTCTTAAACAATATTAGAAACTAGAAAATTCCTGAAGAATTTTTGAATGTGCCTGCTGCTTGGTGCGTACCCATCACTTAAAACTGTGATTTTGTGAAAACCGTAATAGCTATCAAAATACCGATTTAACCCATAAAAGTCTTGTGATCTGTTTAAAGTTTCAACCATGTTTCTACGTAGAAGTATGACAAAGCAGTAGGGCTCCAAGAAAGGGTGGGTTTGGTCATTTTTATGACATCTCTCCATTCATTTTGAAAGGGAAATTTTTCTTAGTTTTTGGCCATTTACATTGCCATGGTTACTCCAACTGCGAAGAAAATTCATAGCATACCATTCCTGATTGACCTGCACATTATGATATATAATTTGTCTGGGTTTTCTCAAAGCTGCAGGACAAGATACGTACCAAAATTTTTATGGAAGAGGAAGTATGATGGATTACAATATATGCCATCTGCACTTACAGTACAGCAGGCACATAACTATCTTGTTTCACCATAAGTAAAAGCACAACAACAATAATAATAATAATAATAATAATAATAATAATAATAATATGTATGTATCGCTTTGGAAAAGGTTCAGTTAATTTTTAATTTTGCATTTTAGGTGGTATAGTATATATTGGCTTGTAATTTGAGTGGTGCAATTATGCTGTAATACTGGTGTAATAGTTTAAGGCTGGACGTTCCCGGACATAGTCATAGTGTCTCTTGGAAGCCGTCTGTATTTGTCTTGAATGTTGCACTGCGGCTGATTTGAGCAGCTTCAACTCTAAGGGTTTTGTTACCAGTTCAGCCGCTTTTGTTTATAATTTTTAAGACTTGCTGAGGTAAGTGAGTGTGTTGCCCTGAAGGTGAGATGATGCTGAACTGTCCTGAGAAATAACAGTATAGAGCTGGTTTAGACTGGATTGTGTTTATGTCCATGGGGGCATGATAACCTGAAACCTAACTCCCTCACTGCTTTGTTTTAAGTGTGATTTTCTTACCTCAGTGGATTCTCATATTGCATGAATACTTTCATCTAAGATAACAGGGACTGAGAGTTTGTTCATCGCTCACCATGGAGATGGTGAGGGAGTTGATGTGGTTGATGTCCAGGAGACAGTACTGCCAGGCGATGAGACTCTTCACATTGATGTAGAGCTGACTCCAGATGGACAGGATGGACTCATAGTACTGCTCGTTCCTTCAGATGAAATTAAAAACCTTTACTCACTGCAAAAAGATTTTCTTTTCAGCCAAGAACTGAGTGTGAATGAGTTTCAAGAGCAAACAACACTTACTTGCTTGCGAGGCTGACACTGAGCGGGTTGGGTGGTGGTATGATCAGACACACAGACGGCACCAACATATCGAGTCCTCCTGGGCCAGTGACCTCCCACTTACTGCGCTGACTGTTGTCCTTCAGGATGGCCTCATTGCCCTTGTAGATCACTTTCTGTAAAGCAGAAACATGCAGAGTTGCATCTGGCACTAAACGACTGGTCTCAGATACTTTTGAGGAATTTTAAAATATCTTGATCTGACAGGATTACGTTTCCCTGCAGACTTAACCCTCGTGGCTTCCAACATGAACATTAGGAAACTCACCTGGTCTTGTTTGAAGTCACACAGAGCCTTGACGATGACAGGGCTGCTGCTCTTCTCCTCTGGGTTTCTGGGTTTCAGTCTCACGATGCTCTTTGACTTGCTGACCAGATGTTGAACCTGCCTCTTGTTTTCCATAATCTTCTCCTTCTCTCTCTGGTGACACATTTAAAAAAAACAGTTTACAAATCAGTAATATTATCAAACTATAGCTGTTCTGTAGTTCATTAAGACAAAAAAAAGAAACAATACAAGGAATAATCCAATAAAAATAAAATATATAAAAATATGAATGAAGAAGGCTGAAACTGGACAAAACAGCTTCACAGTCACCGACATTATGTGACAAGATTCACAGTCCCCTTTATCTTCATATAGTTGTCCTAAAAATCCTCAAAATGTTCTGAGTCAACTGTAATCATCTTTGAATAATCTATTAGATATGTATAACAAGTTTTCCAGTATTAGAGTCTCTTTGTAAATGAATGCAGTCATGCAGAATCAGCTCTTAAAATTCCTGATTGTTAGAGACCAAAGCTGTGTGTGACCTCTCTTCCAGCCATGACTAACGGCTCATTCTACACGAAACACAATAAAAAATAACCAATTATGTTTCTTTTTCTACGCTAAAGGTCTAAGGTCAGACAACTTAGGCCTCAGCAGGTGTGAAGGTCCCTCATTTCAATACTTTGTCACTATGTCACAGTCTTTTCTAAAGCCCAGCTGATCTGTTGTCGTACCTCCAGACCCTTGAGGAGCTCCAGGAGGTTGTCCAGAGACGTGTTCTTGTCACAGGTGAACTTCTTACGAACGCCCTCATGTTCCTTCTGCAGAGTGCTGAACGTTTCATTGGCCTCTTTGAAGAACTATTAAAAAATAGAACGCATAGAAAAATATATAGATTATTCAGTATTTATTACTGGGTTTTTCCCACAGTGTTTTATACCAGAGCCCTCCTCTCCTCCTCTGAAATTAAGATCGACTCTAACTTGACTAACTTTCATGAAATATAATAAGAACTTTGAGGGAAACAAGCAGGTGATATATCACACAAAACAAAAAAAACCCATATATTTAATGAGTGGGGCTACTGTTAGACAACCATAATGTAAATTAATTCATCACAAGGTGACAGTGACTGATTGATCACATCATGAGTTCCTTTTCCATCAATTAGCACCACAGTGTGTAGAATTTTAATGTGAGGTTTAGCAGCATCTAGTGCGTTCTGCTAAAGTGTCTTTTTGACACCAACACTACAGGGACACAAAAAACTGAAAAAATGAAATACAATTATACAAAAAAAGAGAAGCTTTTCTCCCTTTATTTGATAGTTGTGGTTATGTGAGATAAGAACATTTGTTTTTGATATAAAGCATCAATTTGATGTTAGTTTAAAGTTAGATATAGACCTACTGGACCCATTTAATGTCAGCATGTTGAAATGAAATGCAATGGAAGGTGCAATAACTCCTGTGGACTGTGCAATCTGAAGACTGGCTCTTTTTATTTATTGTTTTCTTTTCTTTATACTAGGTTGTTTTTTGTACAGTGTAATATATCAAGTACAATGTGTTCTTTTTAACTTGCATGCATTCATCAGGAGTAGCATTCCTAATTTCGTTGCATTTTCATTGCAATGACAATAAAGGCTTTCTGTTCTGTTCTGTTCATTTGCATCGGTGATGGAGCCAAAGCTCTTCCTCTCTGTGTGGTTTTCCAAAAGAGAACTCACTACCTCCTGAGAAAATCCTGCAGCTGCGTCCAGCAGTGTTTACAAAAGTCTCAGTTTTAAGGACTAGAAACTAGCAAGGACTAGCAAAAGAGATGCATTTTAAAACTAAAGTGTAGTATTGTGGATGTCGCTTGCGTTGTGAAGCCAAATACTGAGGGGTTTTACCATAATGCAGAAAACAATACTGTGGTAAATACGGACTGGAAACTGATCCGTGAAAGTGAATCAACACAGAAAAGTTATGGGCCGTGAAACCAAAACAACGCTTCACGGAGCCGAGGTCCCTTGGTAATTATCTCTGGGTTTGTCACTACGATTAACACCCTTTACATTACACATATAACTATAATAACTATAACTTACTACAATAACTAACTATAATAACTCCACCTGTTGTTAACCAAAAAATATCAACCAGAGCAGCTTTAAGTCGTGTGTTTTGTCATGTTACCTGGTTGTAAGCTGCGTTTTCCTTCAGATGAATATCGATGCATTTTGTAATCTGAAGGAGCCAGCTCCACTGAGTCTGCAGGGTGTCCTGATAAGCCTGGAAAAAAGAAAACGGAAATTATATAAAAGAACATTGCTCCTACTTATATTATAAATGCATGTAATCACAGTGTATTGTTTTCTCCATCGATCAACATGAGCTCAGTCCACACCTCGATCTTGTCTGAGGCCGGGTGGTCATTCTTCAGGAGTGTATCCACTTTGGCTTTCAGTTTGTTCAGTGCCTTCTCTTTGTCCTCCAGGGCACTCATCAGCTTCTGTTGTGTAAGAAGAGGTTTAGCAATCATGGGGATGCAGCTGGAGGAGCACTCTGCGGCTTCGCTCTGAGTGGATGACTGACTGCAGCTGCCAAAATCTAATCTAGCACAGATGATTGCTCATTTATGAGATGCAGATTATCTTCATAAAAAGGCATTAGTGCCATTTAGGCTCAAAGGATTTTTCCAAGAATGTTAATTGACTTAAATAAAAAAAAATTTTAAATTAGAACATGGACCTAATTCCCAGTCATCTTGTGTTGTGTGTGTTTTACTAACCGAGTAGCTCTCCTGCTTCTTAGGGATGTACTGCTCAATGTTCTTGTCTCCCCAGTCGAACACCAGCTCCTCCTCCTCCCTGTCGTTCACCCACATGATCTCTTTAGATATATCCTGAATGATCTCCTTGAGGTCCTGCAGCTGCTGAGTCCGACCAAATGACATTTGCTGGAAAAGAAATCAAGTTTAAATACAATGCCAACAGTTTACCTGAAACTACAGAGCAGGTAGTGATGAGTGTTTATTTCCCTTCACCTGCAGACTGTCCCATTCCTGCTCCAGAGCGTGAAGGTTTCCTTTGTCTCCTTTCTTAATCTGTGGGAAGCGAATCGTACTGATCTTAACATGTTATCTTAAAAATACAGTGCCGCTATGAAACAAAAATTCCTTATTCCTTAATTTATCACCCTCAAAAATATAACAATCTAAGTCAAGGTGAATTTGTATGGCAGTCAGAGATCCTTAAGATTTTTATAGATGCTTCTTAAAACACGTCTTAATTTTTAAAAACAAAAAGTAGAATTTAAAGGCTGCATAACTTTCCCATTCATTTAAATATGTTAATATATGAATATAATGATCAATTTAAGGTTTTAATGTTGAGGGAGAAAACGTGTCACAAACTAAACCCCTAATTTCAAAAGCCCTTAAGTAATGAATTAAGCAGATTTCCACATCATATCACATTATATCAAAGTAAAATTAGTTAAAATATTAAACACTGGTTCCATTCCATGGTCTAGCTTCGTTGTTTTTTATAATCAACATATTCTATGAAATCTTGCAGTAATTCCCTCATTCAAAGAGGTGAAGTTTTTGTTAATTTGCGACCAGATTTAAATGAAATTAAATCCAGAACCTTGAGCCTGGACTTTGGATAGAGTTGTGTTAAAGTGAGATGATACAACAACTTATTACTGTCTCCAAGGTAATCATGTTTAATTTATGCTTAGTCTATTTTTATGTACGTTAACAGGAGCTCCTGTTGACAGCTTTTAGTGAAATTTGAAGGAACACTTGATTAGTTTTTGGTGCAGATCTGACATATTTTCATAGGATTGCTGACACATACGTCTCATGATTGTCTGTCTATGTGCATTTAGATGCAGAAGAAGATCCAGGTGCAGACCACTAAATATGTGATTAACACATTCTAAAGCATCATTAACTTATTCAAAGGATTGCGCAGCCTTACAGAAGTGCAGTATGTGTTGTCAACTAGTCATTTCTAGTTGTCTAATAGAAAATGTATTTGAATCAAATTAAAACAAATGAGAGCATGGAAAGGATTAAAGAGATCTGCTTGTTACAGCAACAAAACCTTCATTTTTCCATCACAGCAGTGATGATAATGTGAACACTGCTGTGGCCCACAGTGTCTGCTGTGAGCTGACTGAACCCACCAGGTCGTCCTTGGCTCGGTCCACCTCCAGGCTCCTCTGGATGGAGCTGTGAAACTTCTGGTGGCTGTATAACTGCTGCTCAATGGCTGCAGGATCGTCCCCCCAGGAAGCAGTTTCAATCAGACGCTGAAACACACAAAAACAAATAACACAAAAATGTTTTATATCAGCACACAGGAAAGTCACACTGAACAAATTGGTGCAGATAAAAATTGGCAGTTTTCTGCCTGATATAGACTAAAAACACCAGCAGGTGGAGGCAGAGAAACAGGAAGTCTTCTCTTTATGAATTACTTTAGGACAAACATGTGAATCTACCAATTTGGTCAATTTGGGACAATTTGGTTTTAAGTATTACAAGAAATCAAAACCTTCTGTTAAATTCAATTGCTCTGCAGTGCTGCCTAAAGATATGTCAGTTTTTTTTATAAATGTATCATTGGTGTCTGTAACAACGCAGAGCAGAGGAATGCTTTCATGTCTACACAGTACTCTGATTTAATGAGATCTGTCAGTTCACTGACACACCACTGAAAATCCAGCTGTAGGGTATGAATGAACCCTCTCACACATCGAGCTACTTCACATCATCCTTTCTGTGACATCCACATTTTCACTTTTTGATGCCAACAGAAAAAGAGACTGATTTAATCTATTAAAAATATCGTAAAATGTGAAAATAACACCCACACACACACACACACACACACACACACACACACACACACACTGACAGATACTCTGGAGCTGGTTTAATGTCTGACTGGGAAAAGAAGGTCGTCAAGAGACCACAACATTGTTCAGATATTTGAGACTAAAATTAAGATGCCAAACACTTTGTTTAAAGGAACAATGTCCAGTTGAAATGTTCAAGAAATACTTGTTCCACCACCAAAGAATCAAAACCTAGAATTAACAATTTCCTTTTCAGATGTTTTAATGTGTAGTTTCATATATGTAGGGTCTTTAACCAAGTTCAAGATTTAAGGCCTTGAATTTAAAATGTATTTTATAAAACCACAGTGTGGAAATACTCTGTTACAAGTCCTGAGTTCAGTTTTTTACTTAGTAAAAGTACAAAAGCATTAGCATCAAAATATACTTCAAGTACCAAAGGTAAAAGTACTTGTTAAGCAGAATGGTCCCTGTCAGAATAATGTATATTATATTATTGGATTATAAATAAAAATGCATTAATGTCTACATTATTTTACTTTGCATTACTTACTAATGTGTGTTTGTGTGTTTGTCTGTGTGTGTGTGTGTGTGTGTGTGTGTGTGTGTGTGTGTGTGTGTGTGTGTGTGTGTGTGTGTGTGTGTGTGTGTGGGGTGTGTATATGTCTGTGCACACACCTTTTGCTGTGCAATCCAGGCGAGAGCATCTTGAAAGTTCCTTCCAGGCTCCTCCCAGCCTCCAGAGCTCCCTCTGTTGCTCCTCCTCCTCTGCATGGTGCCTGAGATGGCCATGTGGACCCCCCTCAGCTGGTCTTTAAAAATCTCCACACTACATGTTGAGAAGAAAGACAGGACAATTGGCAATTTTCACTTGTACGTACTGTATACTATAAATTCAGTGACAGGTAGAGAGGAGTGAGGGGAAGGTTTCCCTACTTCCTGACTACGTTGTCGTTCGGCTGTCCCACTTGTTTCAGGTCGATTGCGCAGATCTTCAGCTGCTCGATCGTCTCTTTGGCCATCATCATGTAGCGCTCTGCGTCACCGGGAGCACCACCCTGCAAGACATAAACACGACATGTAAAGTGCTGCACAGGAAGATTGTTATAAGTAAATTAACCAACATCCTTTAGTAACTTTAATAACTTGATTATGGTAAAGAAAAGTCAAACCTTGTTTCTTTTTCTCTTTCTTTGTTTGGTTTTATTCTTTTGGTTGAGACAGGTTGTGTGGTTTGTTAAATTGATTAAGATTAAATATTTTTAACTAACACATGCGGATTTCTAATTCTTAGAGCCTCAATGAATAGATTGAAGGTAAAGAGCTGCACATAAGGGAGAAAAGCAAAGTAAGCATCTGGTTTTCTCAAGGAATATTTCTATGTTTAAATATGCAATATGTATATATATATATATGTGTGTTTTCGAGTTTCATAATTTGACAAAGAAACCAACTGTCCTGCACAATCATGAGAAGGTAAGATGATTATTGTGGCAGTATGCGGCATTTCTGGTTCCTAGTTTCTGTTTTATTATTCATTAAAATTTTACGGTGTGCAAAAACTCTGTTGACATTTTTTCCTGTTGAGTCCAGAGAGTAAAGTCAGTTATCTTTGCCTCCTTTAGCAGATGCAACATTTTTACTTTACACTGAATTAGTCATAAAACGTTAAAAGTCACCGGAGAGAAACTGAATTGAATAGAGAGATAAAGAAAATGCTTTAACTATCAGCCTGGTTTCTGTTTGGTGTTAAATCCTCACTCATCCAGCAACTCAATTTACAACCAAGCAACATTTCTCTCATTCTTTCTGCATCTTTTTTGCCAACAGAGGAGAAGCTGCTGCAACACGATCCTTTTCCTTCTTCTTGTGGAATAAAAACCTCATGGGTGAGCCGTGGCCCTTACAGGCTTTTACTTGCACCACAGAAGGAAGAGAGGCAATAAGTGACAGCACCAGAAAATAAATCATGACTCACAGTCTGTAGGGCGTATTCAGCTTTCTTCAGGTACTCCTGGCACTGGGCCTGCAGGGCCATGGCCCTCTGGTGGATGCCACTGAGACCGGAGCCACTGCAGGGGACAGCAGATTAAACTCATCACCCATGAGATCATCACCATAAAAAATCTTCAGTTGATTCATTAGTATCAAACACATCACCAACGCAATATCACAATTTAGACCAGTTGTTCTCAATGTCACCGTCGGACGCTTAAAGTGGCTTCTTTTTTATCTTTCTCCACAGACTAATTAACTAACAACTGAGATCTGTTGGCTATGATGTAACTAGTAACATCACTAAAGGAGCATTTGGACATTTTTACTATTATGCTATTAAATAAATACTAAAACAGCTTACCAATCATTAATATGGCACTGCATTCCGCAGCTGGTTTATGTTCATTTGTGGCATGGTGTACATGTGGGCCCATATACACTGGGAATAGTTAATGCATGACACAATAATATAAACTTCCTCATCAAATACAGTATAACCGGTACTGGTTCTTGATATTTGAGAGTTAATAGAAAGTGATATAAATATATATGTTTTTTTTTTATTTGCTAAAAACTGCAATGAAAACATCCAGACTTACTTCCTTTCCTTTGACTTTCCTCACAGTATGAGGATGATATATTGGCCCAGTCCATTAATCCAGCTCTAGTAGGTACTAGGTAACTGAAGGGATTTTTCTTTTAAAAACTCAGCAACAACTCCACTGCCTCTCTATTTTCTTTTTTCAAATTTAGTGAATAATTCTCACTTTTGGAGAGTGAGAATTATTTGGAAATGTGCAGCCATTTTGTAAAATTTGAGATACTCTGGGAAAATGAGGATATTTTTGGAACATAAGGTTATTTTAATAAGGTGGGGACATTTAGGAAATTTAGGGCATTCTGGAAAAGTTAAGACAAGTCATTTTTGAAAGGTGAAACATTTAGGAAGGATATTTTGGAAAGTAGGACATTGCAGAAAGGGGTATCATTTGTTTGTGAAGACCAATCCAAAGGCAATCTTGGAAAACAAGGACATATCTAAACAGTGAGAACATTTAGCAAATAAAGGACAAAAGCGAAGAATCGAAACGTATCTTTTACTCTTCCTCTGTCTTTACTTTCTTTCCTGCATCAACATGATTCAACTTAAAGGAGAAATAAAAGTCTTCATGTCAAACAACCTGAGATCACGTCTCTCTGCCCTTTCCGTAACTACCACAGTGACATATTTCATCTGTGTGGAAGGTCCCTGGCATTAAGAGTGAGTGTTAAGCTGTTGCAGCAGAGGGAACTTCACAGTTCGCCGTGAGCTATAAATCAAAGTGAGTGTTTCTCTGCAGGGAGGGAAGCTGCTGTGCAGAGAAGACCCTAATTTATGATCTTTTTTAAATCTGCAAAGCACAGTATATATAAGTCATGATTAAGACATTAATTACAGTGCAGCCTTGTTTCATTGTAACTTTGTATTATCACTTATTTAGTTTAAGGGTAAGGTAATGTGGTAACTCCTTACACAAACAAATTATGAGTGCACACTGGTCCAATCCTCTGTAAACTCAGTCAAACTGATGTAAATGTGCTGCTACAGCAGACATCAGTGCTGTGAAATTTGCAGAAGAAAAACATTTCCCTGTAATTATGTTGATCATGCACTTGTTTGGTATATCAAGCGTTAATGCTGCAAATGCCAGAGTTTTTTTTTTTTTTGGGCTTAGGGGCATTTGTGTCTACCCGGGGTCTGCAGGGCCAAAATGAACATCAGGATCAAACTGGCTTCCCTCATAAATATTTTATACCAATCAGCTGTTTAGACTGACATGAATCCGCCCTGCAGTGAGAGCAACAAGAAAACACAGAGAGGGGCAACAGGTGGCAGCGAGGAAAGCACAAACAAAACTAACCAAAAAATTAATTTATACCTGATTCCGCCTCCCATGCTGCCCGACATTCCGCCCGACATTCCGCCCGACATTCCGCCTTTGGAGGACTTTGTATAAGTGACGGTTTTGTATCCCTCCATGTACGGTTCGTATCCATTACCACCTCCATGTACTACCTCGCTCCGTGCGTACTGGAAGCCCCCTCCGGCGGTCAAGTCGCTTTTGGACCCGGCCCTGCGGCTCATGCTGAGGGCCTGCTGAGACCCGTAGTAACTCATTCTGAAGTCTAGCAAGCGGCAGCAGAAGCGACTGTGTGGAAACTACAGGGGGAAAGTCAGAGGGCTCTCTCCACCTGTCCGACCCGGTCCTTCGGGCCCTCCGGTGCAGACTGCAACGAACGACAAAGGGAGGATCGTTTTTGGAGGCTGGTGACCACACCTCTCTGTCTCTCCCAAACCTGCTGAGCCAAAAAACCACTCCCCACTCTCCCCTCCAAGCTCAGTTGCAGCCAAAGTGTGTGTAAAATATTGCATTTCTATCTTTGTGGGGACTATAATAATTTTCAGATCAGTGAGAACAGTTTTCAAAAGCTACAAATATTTGGTAAAGTCAGGACATTTTGGAAATTTAGTCAAATTTGTTGATTATGAGGGCTATTTAGAAAAAGGAGGACACTTTATAAAATTAGGACATTTTTAGAGAATTAGAATTATTTGGAAAAGTTAGGATATTTCTGGAGGTAAGGTAAGGTAAGGTAAGATATTTTGTAAAAGTTAAGACAGTCTGGAAAGTGAGGACATTTTTGAAAGGTGAAACCTTTTGGGACGTGGGGGCCATATTTAAAAGTGAGGACATTTTAGAAATTGAGGATGTTACAGAAAGGGGTATCCTTTGTAAGTGAAGACTGTCATTTTGGAAATCCTAAATTGTAAAAAAAAAAAAAAAAAAAAAAAAAAAAATTGATAAAAAAATGTATTTTGCATATAGAGGACATTTTTGTCAAGTGAAGACTTTTTAGGTTTTAGGTTTAAGTTTAGAATTAGGTTTACATTATGTAATTATGTAATGTATTTATGATTTATACATTTTGGGTTGAGAGCTGGGATGCATAATGTCAGTGAAAGTTCCTAGGATGCACAACCTTTATTTGCCAGTATAGATAAAATATATGTATTGATGATTCAAAATATAAATAAATAAAGTCTATATGCAACATGTATACACCACAAAATGCACAAAGATAACTTAATGAAAATATATGTAATGTTTAGATTATAAAACATTTTTTTCCTTCAAACATCTTATAACTTGAAAACGTTTTAAAATTGAACGTGCATGCACAAATGCATTGCTGTTTCTTTTTAGATGTTTTGATATTTTGTAACAAAATTTAACATCTGCAATGTAAAGCAGATTCTCAGCTGACAGCCGATGACAGCTGTGAAGGAGCTTCAAGGCAAACAGCTAGAAGGGTAGGTGACACATCCACCTGCAGTAGAATTTCAGTTGGAAACAACCACCAAGATGCATCTCAGTTATCTCCTCCTTAGGTTTTTTCAAAACTTCAACCTTTCCCTACACACCCTTATCATCCACTGACCTTTTTGTCTTGTCAACAGCGAACACACACACACACACACACACACACACACACACACACACACACACACACACACTCACACATAGACTACTTAAACACTCGCCTGCAGCCAATGGGTGGAACTCACAGGAAAAACAAGTTTGACGACTGTCTGAATGGCACTAACTATGGTTGAATTTTATTATTACTTTCTGAGGTGAATGAAAAACACAGTTAGAAGACTGTCACACATGATCAATGGAAAAAGATAAACTCATGCAAACAGATTCATGCTTTATTCAGACATGTCTCTATTATTCGTTTAATATTTTTATTTTGTGCCACCTTTGCCTAGTGTTTGCTCATGAGGAACGTTGGGTCTCTGTAAATAATATCATAAAGAGTTTGGTCTAAACCTTCTGTTTATGAAAAATGCCTGAAGTCATTTCTGTGATGATTTTGCTATATAAATTAAATTGACTTGGCTTGACCTACTGTTATAAAGCGATTACTGTGTGCAAAGTCACTTTTTCACATGTGACGTATCATCCTTAAATAATGGCCTCATATGAATATTTTTACTTTGAGAATGCACACAGCGGAGTGTGAGCATTAATGCAGTTCCACCCCTGCATTCATTGATGCTCCATCCACACATCCGGTCTCATTCTGTGTGTTTTGTTACTTTCACAGGTGCAAGTCCTTCATTAGACTGTTCAATTTCTTTTAGCTTTGTTTGATCTACAGTCTGTGTCTATCTGCTGGTGATGTGACCTTCTTACACAGGCTGAAATATCTCAAAAACTATTGGATGCATTGCTGAGAAATTTTGTACATCCATTCATGTTCCCTTCAGGATGAACTGTAACAACTTTGGTGATCCTCTGATATTTCATCATCAGGTCAAAATTGTAATTTGTTCAGTATTTTGGTTTATGACCAAATACCTGAAAAAAACTAATGACAATCCCATAATTTCAGCTACCCTTTGTGTTTAGTGATAACTAGCAAATCTACCATGCTAATATGCTACACTAAGAACCTGTTCAAACCTGGCATTAAAATGTGTCTTGGCATCAAAATCCATCTCCATGTGTCTCGAGTGACCACTTGTGAATGGATCTCACTTCCTCGCTCTGTATGCAAATACACATGGATGCATTGTTGTTTTTAGTCAGTCCGACTATGACAGACGAGTCCGTTGTGTTTGTGTGTATGTGAGGTTTTATCCATTTAAAATAGTAAAATATTTTTGGTTCATTATGAAACTGTGGTGGGACTGATCAGGCTTTGGCAGAGGACATCAGTAGAGTAGGCGATCCTTCAGTGTGGTCTTGGACACATCTATGTTCACACTGCTCAAAGAATGTGGCCACATGTGGTCCACACAACCTCGGAATGTGGTCTGAGTGATCGGATCTCAAATGCCTCCTCAATGCGTCTTGGGTGCGTTCACACCTGAACTTAGAGCTGTCCACTTGGGATTGGATCATCCAAGACGGATGTTAAAACCAGGTCTGAACAACAAGGCCTCAGATGATGAACATGGTAAACATTTTATTTGCTCAACATCAGCATGTTAGCATTCTAATGCACTTGGCTCAAAGGATCTATGTTCCTCAGTAGCCTCACAGAGACACTTGCATTTGACCCACATTTGATCAGGACGTTGTCATGAGACCAAAACCTCTTTTTATGGAGAGTCATGGTCAAAACAGCAGCACACTGAAACAGAGTACACAAATCAAACCTCAACAACGACCAGTTTGCGTTTTTGATGTTTTTCAAGACTGATCATGTCTTACATAACAAGCATGCCTGTGCACAGAGGCAGCTCACCTGTTGGCTGTTTTTTACCTGTGACTTAGATCCAATACAGACCACAAGCATAAATTTTTTTAATGATAGTAGAAATGATAACATATGTTTGAGCCCAGACCCTACAGACGGACAGTTCACGGACAGTCTCCCTACACCACCCTGCCACCCAAAAACTCTGCAGCTACTGAGGAATGTAGCATGCTTGTGTGTGTCTGTTTGTGTGTAGAATTGCAAGTTATTTGTATGAGCATGCACGAGTGAAACTACTACTACTAAAGGGAGAACTGGGAACGGGTTGATTATGGAATGTTTTCTGTTTGTGATTTATTGCAAACAGTTGTTTTCCAGTAATTCCAGGATAATTGCAGACTTGGTGTGGATGGGGGAGTGCAGAGGAATTTTCATATTTTGGGGATATGGTGATAAATCCAGCAGCTCTGCTCACAGATTCTCTTTTATTAGTATCGACTCAGTCTTTGAGCTCATGTGTGCTTGCCTTTATATGAGTCATTCACTCAGGTAATAAACTGCTCTAGCATTTTTCTCAGAGGAAAAAAAAAAGTCCCACCTCGCCTTCATGTTGTTCCCTGTGGCAATGACATTCAAGAACACGCCTTTGCCTGTACATATACTTGCACAGCTACACACCTTTTGCCAAAACAGCATTTTTAAAAGCCACGCTCTACATCTTAATCTGCAGCTCTGAAAGCTCCGGTGTCACATACTATGATAAAGCATTGAACTTGAACCCTTTGTCTACATGAGCATGTTTTAGTGGGTGAACTTTTGCCGCTGGTAGAGCACAGAGATTGTTATGTGCATAACCTGCTGCACAGAAGCCTTACATAACTGTAAAATGAACCCCTGAGTTCACCACATTTACTGTATGAGTGTATGAGTGTATGAGTCGTTTTTTTCCTCTGGTTGAATAACTTAAATCATTTTAGGGTGTATATCTGAGGCGTAGTCCCATCTGTTCCCACCCTCTCCCATCTCCTTTCATTCCTGATTTCTGGAGACAGGATAAGGCTTGCATGCTTTAATGGGTTTCTAAGGCTGCCTGACATGACAGTGTGTCTGTGTGTGTGTGTGTGTGTGTGTGTGTGTGTGTGTGTGTGTGTGTGTGTGTGTGCGTGCGTGCGCGTGCGTGCATGTGCGTGCGTGTGCGTGCGTGTGTGTGTGTGTCTGTATGTGCAGAAGCGCTCTTATTTGTAAGGATCAGGGACAGGAAATGAAAATAAGGTGGAGTATTAGCATTAAAAATCTTCAAGTGAAAATTGATCCAGCACTAAAATCCATTTTAAAAAAGTAAATGAGGTTGTTTGAATTCAGATGATTTCCAAGATCCAACTCTTCCTCTAGATCTGAGATCTGTGAACGTCATTTATTCCATAATATCTGAATGCCTCGACTACTTTCTGTTGTTTGGTATCGCTCAGGAACTGAATACTGCAGAGAGATTAATTAAATCATGATAGACAGCTGTTGCTGCCTCTCTTCACTGGCTTTCAGTTATATTTAGAGTTTTCTCAGTTGCTTCACTAAATATAAGGAATTCTCCCTCCTTTATGTGCAGTTATAATGTCTTACAATCACCACTACACTCTGATAAACCCACTGTGCACTACCTATATAGGTGGTGGAGGCCAAACCAGAGCTAAAAAAAAGTGAATGTTAAATGTAAAAGGTATTTGGGGTGTTTTTTTTTTTTTACCTTGTTGTTTCTTTGTTTTCCACCCTGTGTATTTATATGTCTGCTCTGCTCATCACTATTCTGTCAAGCTGTAATACCCAACTTGGGGGTTAGGGCCCCCAATGGGTCCCAAGATAAAATGAGGGTTCACAACAAGAAGAAAAAAAAACTATTGCTCTTAAAAATTTTGGAATAATCTTTTGCTTTTTTTTGCTGAAATATTGGTTACTTTTATCTCTTTGGATCCCTAAAAATCCTTGGAATTAAATATAATATTAATTAA